ACGGTATCTCATTTCCTGTAACTTTAATTTTATTTATTTATTTCAACGAAGGGAAGAAAACCACTAACACGTGAAAAGTATATGAATCTAGGAGATATAACAGGGACATACATTTGTAGTAAATGGGAGACGGAGGAAAAACCGAGTTAGTAGTTGTTGAATTCAAGACAAGAAAAGTTGAATTCAAGACTTTTTTTTTGAAAGCCACTGACGAGGGCTTCACCGGAAACACTTCGGCGGGTAAAGAGTTCCAACATCTGATTACTCTATTAGAGAGAAATTGAGAAGATATTTTTGTTGAGTTCTTGATGAGTGATTTGAGATAGTATTTGTGACGTCGCAATGATCCAGCATGATTAAATATCTCGAAAATTGCAACCTCCATGATAATTTCTTTGGAAACAATAATTTTATACGTGTAGACCAAATCATATAGAGCCTCCGATAGAGCCAAACAGCTTAACTGACATTCTTCAAGTGCTTCATAACAGATATCAAAAAGTTGTCATCTGACAAATTGTTCACCATAATAACAACAATATTTTTTCCAGCTGACCACTTTTCTATACCTTTCCAAAACAAATTGGCTCAAAGTGGACGTTTGGGGGTGGTCTATTAGAGTGTTTACGGTATTTTGTCACAAAAGTTTGAGGTTCTGTGTTTTGAGATCGATCTGTTAGAAAAAATATCAGAGATGCCCTGATTCTGGAATCAATGAAATTATTATTTGTCGGGATTCCGTTTTCCGAAATTCGAAAAAATTTATATATTCTGAGTTCGGGATTCCGGATTCCGAGAAATTGATGAAAAAATAAAGGACCATTTTTTTTTAAAAGAAATTTTCCGCACACTGAAAATATATGGATTCCGCGCTTTTTTCGGTCCGCATTCGGATTCCTAGAAATCAACTTCATTCCGAATTTCGTATTCCTGATTAAAAATTCGGATTGCGAGAAAATTATTTTGTTGAAGCAGACTCCAAAATCCAACTGATTACAATTTTTCAAAAGGGATTGTTATGAAGACAGGAACGAGAGGAACCTTCTGAAGTTTCCTCAAAATGTGGTCTGAATGACTCATCACAATGAAGATAAATGACCGGGATTTCATTGAATTTTCGTTGTTTCAGAATATTCGCGAATTTAAAACTTTCGAAATTCCGGGATACTCACAGATTCAAAAAGTTATATTCCACACACCTCTGATTTAATGTTTAGATACACCGGAATATTAGATAATTTGAAGTTTAAACTTACACTCCAAACAATGTCAGTCGACTGATATAGAGCAATAAACTAAGAAGAGAGCAACAATCGATTGAGCAATCGAAACATCTCATGGACCTATCTTTGAATGGTCTAACAGATTCAAGAATGACTTGAAGGAAAATGAGACTGGCAACACAAATCATCCATTTTGGAATTTTGGGTTCAATTGGACAATGATCCAGTTTTGATACTCCAACGAACATCAAAAAAGAAGGAATTCCGAAAGCCATAACGAGAAGAAACAAGAAAACTGCTAGAAATTATTCAATTTATTTCTAATTTGTATTCCAGAAACTCACGAAAACAGCAGCAACATGCCAAACCGGATGAAGATTTCGTCATTTCGAGCGAAAACTGAAGTAAGTCAACACACCACAAGTTGATTTTATAAGCAAAATTGTGTCGCTGAACTGATAACAGGTGAATGGTTTTATATCAGTTATAGAAGGAAATCGATTCTCCTATACATTTGTTCATTGGAGATCTTTGGGAGACGTGATCTAAAATTAATAATTTGCAAATTTTGCAAATTTTTGAATACAGGAATGGGGTCCAGGATCCAAGGGTACATCGAAAAGGGTACATCAAAGGTACACCGAGTTTTTAGGGTACATTGGTTCCGAGGGTACAGGGGATCTTAGACTGTAAGGCGTTTCAGCCTAAGCCTATAATTTTGAGCAGAACGCAAAATAGGATGTATAAAAATATTTATTAACTTTTTTTGTCATCCCACATGTTCCGAAAAAATGTACCCTTGGAACCAATGTACCCTAAGAACTCGATGTACCCTTTTTCGATGTACCCTTGGATACTGGGCCCAGGATGGACTTCTCTGTTATCCTTTTCTTTTTCATTGAAAATCACTTTTAGGTGTCCAGAAATTGATTTCTGAAAATCTTTTTTAAAGAAAGTTTTTTTCTTGGATAAAAAACTCCGACAAACCTTGGGAAAGGTTCCGACCTAATAGTATTATTTTTCAATTTCCGACCAACATCCGGCCCCGCCCCGCTACAGAGCCGTTTTTGGGCAAGTTCCAATCGACGAGGGACTCGATGAGAAAAATAATCACTCGTGATGAGAAATGGGTGCTCTATATCAGTTATACCAAAAAGTGCCTATAGAAAAGGAGATTTTTAAAAAAGAATTTGTCGCTTTGGGTGGGATAGTTGAAGTAATTTTCCCGGAGCTGCTTCCGGACTCCAATACCATCAACTTTGGTTCTACTGCTTTCCAATGGAAAATGATTTATGGTCATTGCTGTAACCAGCCGAGGGGCACAATGTTGAAACTTCAGCATGGTAACGAAAAACCACACAATTCTTCGAAGATCCACTGAAATCTCCAGTCTCTTGGAATCTATGTTCTGACTCGCCCACCGTACACTTCCGGACCGGGGCCAACTTATTATAACCTCTTCCAATCTTTTCAGAGCCATCTTGCTATAAAAAATTAATCTCTGCAAGGATGTCGATAAGTGGTTGAGCCGCTTTTTTGCCATTTTTTAGAGTTCTACGAAAACTGATTCGGCCAATTTTCGTTGGGCTTGCAATACATATTTTATCAACTTTTGTGAACTACATATCTCATTGATGCTTATTTCACTCAACAAAACTTGAATTATTAAAAAATTTTGAAGGACCAAAAGTTTTTGAACAACCTAATAGTTACAATAAATACAACAAAGTATTCAATCAAAGATCTAAGAAGAGGTGATGTAACAAAAAGTTCACATCTTATTACAGTAAGTATGAAGACCAATATCAATTTACCTTGATTGGTCCGTTCTTTGTTACTTTTCTGACCTGATTTGTTCTGGAAATCGAAATTCGCACTATCCTTTCGTACGCGTGAGAACCATTCTAACTTTGTTTTCGAATACACTGTTTTCATGAATCTGACAAAATGTATTTTTTATTGTCACTAGTGTGAGTGAATTCAATTATCTTGATTCGATAGTGTCGACAAAATCAGGAATGGTCACAATGTGTGCATGTTGTATTCTTCGTTAGTTTCAGCTCAAATTAATAATTTCCATAATTTGAAATGTTCTAGCATGCTACATATCGATTATGACAGTTTTCCTAGTGGTCCCGGTTCTTTTCATCGTTGTTGGAATCATCAAATTCAATGATTTTCCGATTGATTCAAGAATTCCAATTTGGATGATTTCAATTGCAGGAGCGATTCTTTTGGAAAGAGTTGTAGAAGCAATTAAAACAATGGGAGATAGTAAATTTACTCGGGGAAATTCAAAACCAGAAGGAGCAGATGCAATAGAAGAATGAGAGCAACAGAAAAAAGAAAATCAATCGACAGTGGTCATGGTTTTTCTATTTTTGATTCGAATTATAGTTTTCAGTGGGTTAGTAAATAGAGCACCTTTAGTAACTTTTCAAGAGAGAATGTTCTCTTAACTTTTAGAACAATTGTCGGCTGTGTCTTCACATTTTCAATTTACGAACAACGAGAGAAATGCGATGGACTCGTATTCTGGTATTCATTTATTTATTGTGCCTTATCCGTTGCCATCTACGGTCTTTTCATTCTACTCGTCGCTTGTCTTTGCTGTTTACTTGCACTGAATATCACATTATCTTGAGAATGAACTCTTTCTTCTGCTTATGTATTTCTAAAAGTAACCAGGAACTTCCAGGTTAAATAATTCTCCCTTCCCCCATCTGTTTTTCTTTTCTCTCATGTTTCTCTAGTTTACAACACCATTTCGTGTCAGGTTTTCTTTCGAAAAATTAGTTCCGCGTTCTGTTCTGAACATTTGAAGTATTGAACGAAAAAGATATCCAAAGAATCACATTTTGAACCTTTTAGCTGATCAGTCACTTCTCAACTAAAAGTGACATAAAATTACTTTACGTATTATTCTAGAACGAAAAAAAAGGAGCTTTGGAAGAGAAAAGCTTTTGGCTGTGGCCTGAGGTCCCACAACGACAACTACCGTAATTTAAAATATTCTTATTTCCCGTATTTATTCCCTCGTTTTTCACTAATTTTCTGTTGATTTTCCCAAAAAAGTAGGAATATAAACATTTTGATATAGTGAAAAGATTGACTGAATCGAGAATAAAAATTCTGGAAAATATTTCTATCGGTTACTGTAGTTTTCGTTATGGGACCTTCGGCCACAGGCACCGGCGTTTCTCTTCATTCTCTTCACAGCTCCTCCTTCTGCAGCTACGCCTACTCCTCATTCCCCCTAGTCCACATTGCCCATCCTAGTCCTAGCCATGGACGGGGACTTCTCCTATTGCTCCCGTATCGATTTTTCAGCATAATTCCTAAGTATAAACATGTGCGAGATCTTGGTGTGATTTTCTTAAAAGACCTGAGAAATCAAAGACTTCGGTCTTGAATTATTGGAAGATGGTGGCTGAACAACGGTTTAAATTTTATTAAAAAAGGGCTAATAGTCAAATTGTAATTCTTCGAAAACTCCAACTTGTTAACTTCCCGAAACTGATAAATCTACTACATATACATATACGAATTTAGAGAAATTTGTGTACTTTTGGAAATCATTTAAAAAAAGATTTCAAATTTGAAACATCATTATTAATGGAGAAAACTAGTCAAAAAGAGATGACATTATTTTCAGTAACATGCCGTCAAAATCAGCTGTCACCTCTAAGATGGCATTCTTAACTATGCTTCGTGAGTTTCTGACAAATGAATTTTCTGTGATTTTATACTTTTCTAGCATGTGTGATTGTGATTACACTGTTCTGTTTGGCTGTTCCATTAACCATGATCACGATCGGAATAACCAAAATGGACGATTGCGAAGCTGATCCAAGAATCCCAATTTGGATGATTGTAATTGCTGTTCGAGAGACTCGTTGGGTCCGTCAATACTATTAAAGACAGAAAGTTTCTCAAAGAAAATCCAAAACCAGAATTTTCGGAAGATGGAGGCAATGATACTCTAGTTGACTGGAAAAACAGAAGAAAGAACAATAAGTCGACTCTTTTCGCTTTCTTGGGATCCTTCGTCCGATTGATTCAATTTGTCGCGTAAGTTATACTCCATCTTTCTAATCCGCGTCGATCAAAACTTTTTAGGTTCGTTGTCGGATGCTTCTGGGTATTCGGAATCTATTCTGACAGTGACCGTTGCAATGGATACGTTTTCTGGACTTCTTACTTCTATTGTCTTATCTCAATCATCTTCTACATTGTCGGTGCTTGTGTCTTGGGATGTGTCTGCTGCTGTATAGCTGTGCTGTCATCTGATTAGAATGGAACGCTGGGGAGATGAAAGAAACACTTTTTTCTAAATGCTCATGATGATAATAATAATAATTCTTGTTCAATTTTTCTTGCAGCGACATTTTTCTTCAATAAAAATATTTCTGAATTACTCAAGATCCAAAATAGTAATGGTTTAGAGAAGGTAGAAGTAGGTAATTAGAGGGGCCTACAATTTAATTGCATATAATGTTTAAAAAATTATGTATTTCCGTAATATTATCGCGAATTTTTTTAAAATTCATAGTCCCCGAAAAACGATCCTGAAAAACTGACTTGTAAAAAACAGCACGGCGCCGGAACTCAAATCCTCGACCCGTTTCGCGACCTTTTTTTGAATTATTAAAGGCGTTTTTCCGGCAATAATATTATGGGGTTATTCAGTGAGAAGCAATTCAGCAAATTGCTGGTTTTTTCCTGAATTGAATTTCTGTGATTAATTGGTCTCCCCGAGTTCAGGCAAAGAGTTTCTTCCGCCCATTACCATTGCCATGATAAAAGAAGAACATTTTCTCATTTGTTTATTGGTAGTTCTACTTTTTGTTAATTCTAAAAAAATCGAATTTTTGTTTCAGCATCAGCATGCCTTCCGACATCGGTTTAACTGAAAAACTAGCATTCTTGAGTGTACTTCGTAAGGAAAAACGTTCCAATATTTATTTTTTAATAATTTTCAGCAGTCCTAATTGGAATCACCATAATTTGTCTGGCAATTCCAATAGTGATGCTTACAATCGGAATTTTGAAAATGAACGATTGTGAAGCTGATCCAAGGCTTCCAATGTGGATGATTGTGATGGCTATTCTAATGTTGGCTGAGAGATTTACTGGATCCATAAACACTGTCAAAGATAGAGTGTTTCTAAATGAAAACCCAAAACCTAAATTTTCGGAGGATGGAGGTTCGGAAGAACTACTTGACTGGAATAACAGAAGAGAGTCAATCAAATCGACTGTCGTCGTTTCAATTGGATCTTTAATCCGTTTGATTCAGTTCATTGCGTAAAAACTATCAATCCTCTATGATTAACACTTCTAAATATTTTCCAGATTTGTTGTCGGATGCTTCTGGGTTTTCGGAATCTCTTCTGAGCGTGATCGATGCAACGTATACGTCTTCTGGGCATCCTACATATATTGCATTCTCTCAATCACTTTCTACGCTCTTGGCGCTTGTCTTGGTCCGTACTGTTTGCGTTTGGGGACTGAAGAGAAAAACAAGATCAACTATTATTAACTTATTTCATTTCAGACTTATTTGATTTTTAACCTTTTTTGCAGTTTCAGCGAATTCACTAACTTTTATCATTATGATACAATAAAATTAAACATCGTTTCTTTTCTCGAACATGTTGAGAAATTTGTTTCCAACAACTGAAACATTCCTAAGCGTTGAGAGATGGCTCCCGAACGTTTTCTAAGCCTTATTCTAGATAAGAATGAACGGTTCCCTGCTTATTTTGGCTGCGTACATTTGATATTCAGCCAAGTCGAATTTCATGGAGTACATAAAAGCCAAAAGAAAGAAACTTGAAAGAGTTGGGGACTACAGTAATTATGATAAAACAAATCCCTTCAATTTGGAAGTATTGCCGTTGAAATCGGGCAGATTTAAAATGTTTTCTATTTTGATTTATTTAAATCCTGACAATTTGCTTGATCAATAAGTTTCCTAGTCTCAGATACCGTAACCACACTAATGGAACGCGCCCTAAACCGTCATCTTTGAGACCATATATCTCCGTTTCAATTAAAGACATCAAAAAGTGATTCACTGGTAAAATGGTGGTTACACAATCAAACGTATTTTGTCAGTTAAGCATTTATTGATAGCTTTCACAAGAAACGAGCTAAATTGGCTCAAAGTTAAAAGTTAGGGTGGCGTTCTATCAGAGTGTTTACGGTTTCGAAGAAATGAATTCCAGATTTCCAATGAATATACATATTGTGATTATTCTGCAAATGAAGGAATTCAATTGTAATATAGGTGTCAATTACAGTATTCCCTGATATCTTGAATTTGAAAGCAAGGTTCTGAATGGCGGCTGAGTGGCGGCTGTAGAAAAGCTGGCTGATACATGGCTGGCTCTAGGAATACTGTAAACTCTAATGACTACATTTTTCCGAAAAGATCAAATAATGTTTTTGATTCCAGATACTGATATATAGAATAAAACTGTTTGTTCCAAGTAGAGTTATATACAATTGGCAAATTGCAAACTTGCAACTTCTCTCTCAATTATTCGATCTAAACATCCTGCTAAAATATTCTGATAAATCATTAATTTCTCTCTAATCAGCATAAAATCAAAAATTCTGTTTGCCATTCCAACTATTTGACATTACCATGAAAGGAAGTAACAATAAGATCATAGTTTAGTGTAAAAGAATGCACCCAATTCCAGCTCATTTTCTTCTTCTTCTCAATGAAAAAAACTGATAAGAGTTATCATATAAACCTCCCCGAAAGGCAACTTCTTGCTGAATTAACGACTTATTTTCACTTTTCAAATAGTTTACCGCTCTATCAAAATGTCGAGAGCAGCTGATATTGCTTTGATTTGTGCATGTTGCTGTGGATTGCGTAAGACTATAAATGAAGATAGAGGAAAAGGGTATTTGTTTCCAGAAGTGTTCATAGCAATGACATGTTTTCTATTGGCAGTTCCAATATATCTTTTGGTGGTTGGAATTGTGGAAATGGATAGTTGTGCGGCTGATTCCAGAATTCCAGTCTGGATGATCTGCACAGCAGCTTTAATGATAATTGAAAGAATGATGGAATCAGTGAATCAAGCAATGGATCGCAAATTTTTGAACAATTATCCAAAACCAGAAATTGAGGATGGAGATATAAAAATAGCAGAATGGGAAAAACTAAGAAGCGAAAATAAGTCAAAAGCGCTTTTTGGTTTGATTTCTTTGAGTCGATTGGCTATTTTTGTTTCGTAAGTTGAACATTCCGTAAAATCTGTAATAGAAGAGCCCCTAAATTTCAACTTTCAGCCAATATACACAAATGAGATATACAAAACCGTACTTTTCAGATGATTTTTGGCCATTTTAACCATTTTTAGGAGTCTGAATCACTTTGAAAATTTTGGAGAATGTAAAATAGACCGAGATTGAAAACTTTGCATCTACAGAATTTTTTGAATGTTTCTAGTTATTCAGCTATTTGCCGATTTCTGAACGACACCCCTTTTTTGTCTGTTTTTATACTCAAAACGTGAAAAATCAGGTGTCTTTCAGGAATCAGCAAATAGCTGAAAACTAGGAATTTTTGAAGAAAATCTGCGAATGCAAAATTTTCAACGAGATCCATAATACTCTTTTATAACAGGTTTTATTTTAGTTTATCGAACTGTATTAGAGTAGATGTTTTTCATCCAATTTTAATTCAAACCTGTCTACTTTCAGAACAATCGTTGGAAGCGTTTTCGTCTTCTCCTCTTATTCAACTCGTTCCCAGTGTGATGGTCTTCTCTATTGGTCTGCATTCGTATACTGTATCGTCACTCTTTCTCTATCAGCACTTGGATTGATTATTCTCGGAGGAATGTGTCTTGTTCTAGTGATTCTAGCAACGAAATCTAGAAGCTAGACGATAAACAAAAAAATCGGAGCCTAGTCTACAGTAACCATTTTTTGTTTACAAGTTCCTCTACGCGATTTTTTTGAATTGACAATACCGTAAAAACTGTAATAGAATGCCAAGCTAGCTCAATTTTCTCCACTTCTGTAGGATGAGATTATTGAGTTCAAAATGCAAGGAACAGGTGGAGTTCTATTACAACTTTTACTTCAAAAAAGTCTTTAGAATTGGAATACGATCTGTTTATTAGTAATAGTTCTGTATTTGGTTCAAAAACTGACAAGAGAGAAGTGGGGACTAGCAGAAATATACAAGCGCATGGAAACACAGATTAGAACACGAGATCAAATATAAGTTAGTGTTGACTGGAATCATTTTCAAATTGCATGAAGTTATGTGATGCTTTGGCGAAGACCTTTTGTGTTGAGAATCTTTTTTCCACACATTGCACAAATTCCCTTCTGGTATGCGCACGTGGAGCAGTAGTGACTTCCTGGCTGCAAAATCCAATTGTTAAAAATCATAGTTATCAAATCCCAAGATGGGTCACTTCTCGACCAGTTTTTTAAATTTCAGTATGAAAATTATTGGAAAAAAAACCAATTTGAACGGATGCAGTTAGCATTTGATGAAAAAAAAAATCTAACCTGATGAATCAGCATTTTGCAAAGTTTGCATTTGGCACCAACGATTGTAGCTCTGAAAAAGAATACACAATTATACAATATTTTTTCTCAATTTACTTTTTCTGAACTCCAATCAGCCGATTCTTAGTAGTCATTGTCTTGGGACCAGTTCCGTCCGCATTCCGATTGACTTTCTTGTTTCGATACGGATCCACGCCAACAATTTTCCCCAACTTCTTTTCGCAATCTCCACAAACCATTTTTGCACTAAAACCAGGTTCTCAGTAAATTTTTATAGTCAATGGGCAAATACTGTGTTACGATTGTACGTATATTACCATATGAGACATTTTGTTTAAACCGAATTTTTCATTAAGAAAACAAGGTCATACACAAAGAAACGAGCAGATCAAAATATGATAAAAATTAATAAATAAGAGATCGATCAGAATCACTGCTGTTGGGCATGAGCCTGAAGCTCATTGGATAGAGCCATATTCAGCTCTTCCAACTTTCTCTTGAGAATTCCGATTCCCATTGTCACAATTCGTTGAACTGGGAGTGCACCAGTTCCTTCAACTGAAAAATCACAAGATTTGATATGAAGCACTACTTTTTGAGACCAAATACAAAGTTATATTGTTGAACGCTGGTAAAAGATTTTAGAGATTGAAGTAAAATAACTTTTTCATGAACAAGCACTGACTATTTAAATCTACAACTACAAGTTATGAACTTACTCGAAAACCAGAATTTGTTTGGTTTTGCATTTTGATCGAACGGAGCCTCTTTTTCGGCGCTGTCTTCTGGCAAAGAAGAGTGATCACTTCTGAAAATTGATAATATAGGAATTTCAGCATTCCATTTGATCTTTTTTTACTTTGGCCATTCCTCGACGTTCGGATAAATTGTGTGCCGAAGAGCGTTGTCCGGATCGTACTCGAATGCAACTCCACATGTCGGGTTCCATTTCGCATGCTCCTTTCCGAATCCTTTTTTTGCGTATGCTTTCAGATTTAGTTCCTGTCCTTTTCGCAATTTCACAATCAGAATTTCTTCTCGGGCGTGAAACTCATCTCGAACTGCTCCGCGTTCGCGAAGGGCTTCTCCGCAGGCTGGACGAACAGTCTTAAACCGGTCATGATTGCATACAAGGAGCAAATTGATGATTAACACACCGTTTCAACGCCCAGAGGGCGCAAATCTGCTGTGGTAACTGCCAAAGTAGCTTCATCAGTACACTTCGTTTGCAGAATGAATGGAATGGAACATTCATCGCAGAATTCGGCACATTCACACTCCTTCAATTATTATTCTGTTTGAATGCCGAAAAAAACTACTCACTCTGGTGTACTGCATTTTCTCGACATGGTAGTCTGACAGAAATGGAATTAGTCCCATTCGGTGAGCAATGAACTCATCATGAAGAACCGATGTGTTTGTTTCAATTTGAACCCAATCGATGGCGATAGTTGGAACCTGAGACAATAAACTATATGTAATAAAGTTACATAGGAATCGAAGAAAAAAACTAACTTCTATCGCAATTACGCAGGTAATCGAAACAGAAGCGATTATTTTTACCCCTAAGTAATTTGATGGATAAAAAACAAAACTATACTTACTTCTGCCATAAAGACGCGTCTCAATGAATTAGCAACACTCAAATCTGTGTCCCATAGCACAAATTTGATTAAATCGTTTGTGAGTTCTGTGACTTCGATGTTTGGCTGATTTGCGTACGGCATGACTGGAAATTAGGATTTATATTTGAGAATTTATGAAATATTGTTCGAAAGAGACTGTGAGATGTTAAATAGACTGCATTCCGCAGAATTCCTGATATTTTTTGATAATTCGAAGACGTTTTTTTTTCAAATACATGGACACTAAACAACGCGCAGGTGTAATTTCGGAGTGTCGTAGGGAAAAGTCCTACAGCGCTCGAGGGTACGGTAACACTCATTTCAACTGTGCGATTTTCCACTCAAATTTTCAAATCATCATCTTGAAGGCTTAGAATTGTATTATTTTTAGAGCACCACTTTTACAGCCATAGAAAACGTTATTATAAGTTCAAATACATTAAAAGGTTTCAGATGAACAGATACGATCGTGCCATCACCATTTTCTCGCCGGACGGCCACTTATTCCAAGTGGAATACGCCCAAGAGGCTGTCAAAAAAGGATCCACCGCTGTATGTTAACAAGCAAACAAATCCTAAAAAGTAGTTGTTTTTGTTTTTCGAAAACAGTGTCTGCTCGTTACTATACAAAATTTCTGTCTCCATCTTACTTCTAGGTTAATTGTGACAAAAATTAGAAGCTTTTATTGTTCGCAATTTTATACTAATCTGAAATTTTTTCAGGTTGGAGTTCGCGGAAAGGATTGCATCGTGATTGGTGTGGAGAAGAAGTCTATTCCAGCCCTTCAAGATGATCGCACGATTCGTAAAATTCACATGATCGACGACCACGTTATGCTTGCCTTCGCTGGACTGTCTGCTGATGCTCGTGTTCTCGTTGACCGGGCTCGCATCGAGTGCCAATCATACAAGTTGACGCTCGAAGATCCTGTCACAGTCGCTTACATCTCGAGATATATTGCTAACACAAAGCAGGTGAGGGTTTCTGTGTTTGAAGTTTTCGAATATAAGTTTCAAGCGGTTCACCCAATCCCCGGGACGCCGTCCATTCGGAATCTCCATGCTTATTGGAGGATTCGATCATGATGGAACTCCGCGCCTTTTCAAAACCGAACCATCAGGAGCCTATTATGAGTACGTCGCTAACTCGACTGGAAGAGGAGAAAAGCCAGTGCGCGAATATCTTGAAGAGCACTACAGCGAGGAAACTACAGCTGACGAAGCCACCACTCTCAAGCTGGTCGTCAAGTCATTGGCTCAGGTTGTTCCACCAGGATCACAGAACATTGAGATTGCTGTTATGAAAAAAGTCAATGTGAGTTTTATTTTTTATTTATCTATCTTCTTTCATTTTGAGCATCTAGAGAATCTAGCCTGATTAATTTTTGCAAATTTAAATTTCAGGATGAGCTTCAACAACGTGTGTTGACGATTGAAGAAATCGAAGCACTTCTGAAGGTTGTGGAAGCTGAACGAGTTGCTGCTGAGGCTGAAGAGGCTGCATCCAAGAAAAAGTAGAAACCGATGATCGTCAGCTTTATTCATCCTCCGTGTGTATTGATTTCCCCGTTATTCGCTCCTTTTTCCCATTGAAAACCTAATTTATTTTATTCATCTTTATTGACGGGAATGAAACTTCCTTTTCCCTACAATTTCAAGAATGCAGAAGCGAAAAAACAAAAAGAAGCGATATATTTGAATTGACAACATAATTGTGGGGTTCATTGAAAAAGAAGTGAAAAATAGAACGAAATTTCCCAAGATGCCGTTAGAGAAAAGCTATTTCTAAAATTTTCTTCGAATCCAGGTCTAGCTCGAGTTATTCTCCCAAAACGTGGAGGCTGAAACTATTTTCTGAAAGTATTACTGTACAAGGTCCCTTGATTTCTGTTTAACGTTACTGAAAACCAGACTTGAGAAAAACTGCCTTCTTTTTCACACTGGAAAAATGTTCTGAAATTTCAGCATTCTTCTGAATTTTTTTGAAAAAAATGCTGAACGACAATCCGTTCTTTGTGATCTTTTTATTTGGCAGAAATGTTTTTTTTAGATTGACCGAAAATATATTTTCAATCCGGACTTTAAAAATTCTAAAAAAAAGTCTAGCCGGCCAGTTGCAAGAATTCTGAAAACCCATCCACTGCTTCGAAAAGCTGCTCTGGTTATGCAAATCGTTCTATACATTTCCTTTACTCGCAAAGGAGGTGAGGACCCAAAACAGAAATAGGCGGCCCCGAGGAAAGGAGCAAAAGTGAATTTGAATATGAAGAGGTGCGAAGATTTGATTGAGGTTTCTCTACTTGGAACCAGTTCTGACACATTTTCAAATTATCATCGATTTTGAAAAATAGTTGAATTTCTGGTATTATTTTGGTACAAAAAATCGGAGATATTACAGAGAAAACAGTTAAGAATAGTGCTGGAATTTTAGTTTCAGTAAACCAAAAATTGCTTTTTCAATGCGAAAAAGAGTCATTTTCAAATGCAATTTATTCAACTTCTAGGAGGCTTTGAACTTTTTGTGCATAATTATACTTAAAAGTATGTGAGATCTTCTATTTCAAAATTTTCAGACTTGGCAAAATTAACCCGCTCAAAGTGCAGACAAATTTTTAAAATTTCCCAAACTTCCATATTGAATCATGAAAATCCACAGGATTTTAAGTACAACTCAAAAAATATCGTTCTGAAACCGAGTAGGAGTGGAGAGAATTACATTTGAAAACTGTAGATTTTGCATTGAAAATTGAAAGATACTGAAACTAAAATTTCAGCACTTAATTGATAAGCTTCTAAACAGAATGTCTGAAACCAACTACTTAGCTCATTCAAAGCCTGGTACGTACAATGGTACTAAATAGTCTCCCCTTTTTCTCTATTCTTCCGTTCCTTGACTATTCGACGGCCCGTAATAACCGAATTTGCTGCTCAAGAAAAGAAGGAAGGGGCGGGGCTTACAAGATCTATTGGTGGTACGTTTTGAGCGAAAGCTTACCTCAAGACAGCGGTTATTATTAAGACTCTTCGAATACTTTTTTCCACCCCTTCTGCCGATTTTGTTGAGAAACCAATTGCAAAAAAAAAATCAAAAAAATATCTCCATGTCCTATTAATTGAATTTTATGATACGAATACATCTGAACACATTTTCTTTTGTCTCCGCAAAAAAAAGACGAAGGAAGTTTGTCAAAAAAAGGGAACGATGGATCACAGAGAAAACGAGAACAAACTGAATTTACTACTGAAATCAGAGCATTCTCCTATCCCTCATTCTCCTTTTCCATTTTCATACTTTCAGGTCTGAGGATTCTTTCTTTTTACACTTTTTTTAGTTCTCTTTTATCCTCCTTTTTAAAAGGGAACAAAAAGAAAGTTCGTCTTTTTTTTCTTTCAAAAGGTATCTTCTCCTTCTTTTTCTGCCACCGAATTTTGATTCAATTTAGGTTCGACGCGCAGAAATCTCTTCCTTTACTTTGCCCATTTTCTCTGCCTTTTTCCATACTTTTTTGTAAAAATTTTTGGTAAATAATGTGTGAAATGGTGCCCTTCTTCTTTTTTGGACAAAATAAAAGGAGGATTCTGAATTTTATGATCTACAAATAGTAAATATTCAAATAAATATCAATTGATTGCTTTTCCCTTATTTGTTGTATTTTGAAACTGTTTTCTTATTTGGTTTATGCCAAGGACTTCCGCACAAATGAGACTGAGCTCTTCATTTTAAGACCAAACTTTTTTACAAGACGGAGCAGAATTACCCGAATGATAGTTTTTATAAAATTTGAGTGAAGCGTTAAATTTAGCTTAAACTTGGAGTGCGAAATTTCAAATAACTCATCAATAAACTGGCCAATTTTCGAATTTTTTGACCATCTTCGAGCTGAGTTATCGCTTGTCAAAGTTGCTTCATCTCATGAAAATTTGAAGAACATTACGCCCATCTTTGGACAACCATCTTTGGCTCATCTTTGGACAACCATAAATACCTATCATTCTGGGTAATTGTGCGCCACTCTGTAATGTTCGTTTTTGGAATTCCAATGAAAATAGGAAAAATGTACTTCTCTGGGCAAAATCTTATTCTTAGAAGTGCGATAAATTTTTAAAATACAATAACTCAAATTCCTCGATTTCTCTTCTAATTATAAATTTTTCTAACTTTTTTTTTTTTTTTCAAAACCATTATTCAGGTGTCTATGAAATGGACTGAAATTTCAATTGAACGATGATAAGGATTTCAAACTTTGAGTTATTCTTTTTCCTACTTATTTTTGATATCCTTCCATCTACGATATCAATCTTGCAAAATGGTATGTTTTCAGACAACCGTAACCCTTGAAGGGCTCTACATTGTAAATTTTGAGCTAATTCTCCTTGACTGCTATGCAAGGTATCAAAAATATGTCAACTGATAAAATGTTAATGATATTATGATGAACAAGTTATCAGTTGACACCTCTTTTGTATCTTTGACAGAAGCTGAGATAATTTAGGTTAAAGTTAGGGTCCCTTTTATTACAGGTTTCAGGGTAATTGAATTTTGAGTTTCCCAATTTTTCTAGTTTTGTTTTGTTTCACCAAACCCACCGAAAATTCCAAAAGCACACACCGAAAAGTGTCACCGGAAGGTTTGTAGAGCACCTAGTAGCAGGTAATAGGTGTCAACGAGAGCGTGTTCTAATCGTCTCTCCTTGACTTCCGGATTTCCGTTTTTAACCATTTCTTCTCCCCGTCTCTCCTTCTCTTATACTATTTCCCCATACACAAATTGGGCATTGTTTTCGTAGGCGAACACAGAGAAAGAACATATGTACAGGTGCTTGAGATTTGACCTATAGGGACTGCTAGGGTATACTAACAAGATGATTGAAAACTGCACACGAATTTCCTAAATTTTTTCAGAAGACCGTGTTCCAAACGCTCCTCAAAACGTCCGTGTAAAGACCCAATCTACATCAGCAACACTCTGGTGGGATGCTCCGCCAGATCCAACGGTACTCATTAGAGGATATACTGTAGAATACGGAGAAGGGAGTATTTCTCAGCGAATACTCATTGAAGGACCTGATAGCACTTCATTCACGGTTACAAGACTAGGTGAGTTCTTGAAATTTTGTGAATTCTTAATATCCTGAAAAACTAATATTCAGCTCCCAACACAAACTACGTTTTTGCTGTTTCTGCCTATAATGAAGCAGAAGGAGAGGATGGAACGAAAGTTATGGTAGCTGCAAAAACTCGTCCAGCAGAAGGACTTCAAACTGAAAAATTATGGCCTCCCACGTCAGTTAGAGCTAGAATTGAAGAAAAGTCACTTGGTGGAAGTGCCATTGTTTCATGGGATGACCCGAACCCTGAGAACGCAGCTGACAATTCGATTGATGCGACTCAAAGACAATACGTTATCAAGTTAGTTGGGACATGTTTTGTTCCAAATCTTCCTTCAGTAATTTTTTATGAAAATTGATTTTACCGTAAAACCTGTAATAGAAGGGCTCCCTAACTTTTAACTTTTAGCCAATTTTTCTCGGTTCTTGTTAAAGATACCAAAAAGTGGTCAATGGTAAATCGCTTATCGTAATATAAGGAGTAGTTTGTCAGTTGACAAACTTTTGATATCTTCCATAGGAGCCAAGAAAAATCAGTTCAAACTTAATAGCGAGGGGCCCATCTATTGCAGGTTTTACGGTATACAGGTTTCTTGTGATGAGAGGACCGCTCAATACTTTCTTCTTTATTCCACAATTCCAAAATCAGGACCTTGCCGACCCGAAGATTTTCAGGGCCCGGCCCGGGTTATCCAAATGTGAAATTTTTTCAACTTTTTTTCTGAAAAATTATTTTTATGGACACTCTTATCTTGAAAAGTCTGTTACTTGCCAGATAAATCATTCAAAAATCGTGAAAATATAAGAACTCTGTAGAAGAAGCAATTTGGAGAGAAAGTAAAAATCACCTCACCTGAAAATATTTTTTTTGGTCTAATCGGAATTTTCAGCTATGGAATCTACGAGAGTGACACTCAACAAAAAGTTCGATCAAACGCAAAGGCTGTTCGGTTGACAGGCTTGATACCTGGAAAAGAGTATGAGGTTGCAGTGAAAGTAGTTGCTGGAGACGGAAGTGAAAGTCCATGGAGCATTCGAGATCTATTTTTAGTTCCCGAAAGTATAATCTCGATATGTCTTCTTCAAATTCAAACCAACTCTTTTTCAGCAAAGAAAGTATCGAAATTCGATTGGTTCTGTCGTCTGAACGACACTGAAATGTGCTCAATCGTCAGTTCTCCTCACTGGAAATTGTGTACAGCTAAGCATGATACATACACTCAACGAGATGCAGGAGCATGTCCACGAGTACAGTATCCATCATCGCCTGCACATCTAACTACACCTCCTATCAGCCTTCCGGATGCTCAACACCTTTGTTTTTATTTCAGATTCGCTTTACTGAATTTCCATCCAGGTGTGCGCTTCAGAATCTTATTTGGGCTAGAATTTTTCGAACATCTTTAAGAATTCGGGCTAGAGCCAACATGAATTGGGATCTTATAATGATCTTTGACAATCTTGGTTCCTGCAAAAATATCAAAAAATAGTAAACTGATAAACTGTTTGTCATAATATCACAAACATTTTATCAGTTAATACACTTTTGATATCTCTAATAGACACTGAGATAATTGAGCTCAAAGTGTAAGTTTAGGTTGCCTTTCTATTAGAGTGTTTATGGTTTGTATCAATTTTAACCACCCACCAACTGATTTAGATAGATTACGCCCCATTAGAATGTTTTATTAGTATGCTTTTTCCATAACTCTAATTTTAAGGTCGCTTCCATAATAAGATATCATTGCAAAAAATCCAAAAAAAACTATTTCAGGCCAAATGAAAGTTGAAATCCATCCGGATGGAGATACATCGAATCGTCAAATCGTCTGGAAGACAAGAATGGCTAATGTGCGAACTCATGTTGTTCAGAATGTGTATATTCCATTTTCTCAGCAAATTCGACCATTCAAAGTATGTGAAACCTTAACACTTAAAATGATTATATCCAAATAATTAGGTCTCCGTTTCATTAAAATGGGATGGTCAACCTATGCCACGTGTCATTGTACATGAGATGGATGCGCTTAGTGGAGGATGTTCCGAACGATCAACAGGTGAGAAAGTTTCAGAAATTCGTTTCTTTCAAAAAAGCATCTCCAACTACCAGGAAGTGGTTTTGTCTGATAAACATACTGTAATGAGAAGTAGAGTCATAGCTACCGTATCTCCAATAATAGACACCCACCCAAGCTGTAACTTTGAGCTCAATTATCTCGATTCCTGTGAAAGATATTTAAATTTTTCAGAAGATAATATGTTGGTGATATTATGATAAACATTTTATCAGTTGATAAGTTTTTGATATCTCTCATAGGAATCGAGATAAATGAGCTCAAAATAGAATGTTTGGTGTGTTTCAATTGGAAGAATTACGGTATGTTCTCTTTTTTTTACGGATCGGTTACCAAATGTAAAAAACAACATATAGAAACAGCCATGTGTGTATAATTAGAATTTGGATATTTCCGAGTTCCATCCAATTTTTTCTTCCACTCATTGTGCATCTCCATCTAAAACACTCGAAACGAAACCAAAACAATGCATTTTGCATCAAAATTTAGTAGTGCCAGGAGGTTGTGTTGTCCCTCCTCTTCTCACCATCAAAAAACGTCGGAGGCGCATCTATTTGCCTGGTCCCATTCTTCCACGTCGCCTTCAAACGTCCTTCTCCTCTCTCTTCCATCGTCCTTAGACTCCGCCTCCACAGTTTTGGGAGAAGTCCCTTTGCTGTTGTTTCACACGGATATAGAGAAAAGAGAGTGGAAGAGAAATACTGATGTATAACTAACTTTGGCCCCTCCTCGTTTCGTTTCTTGAACCAAGACAAAGAAAAGCAAAAACGAGAGAAGCATTTTCATATTTCCTTCTATAATCCCAAGGAATTACCCGAACTCACTCAACTCTTCTATTTCTTTTCTTTTTCCTGTATTATTCCTACCTTCAACCTGACTATTTTTGATGAACTTCGATGTTCGTGCGCCAAGATTTTGGAGGATTACTGTACTTTTGTGTACTCAGTCTGATACGAGTCACACAAGCACAACCACCCACATTCTTTGCACTTAATTCCCTTCCCGGTGGTGAGTTTTCAACTTTAAAAAAAAAAAATTGGTGTAATTTATAATTTCTCGGAATTCCGGGTGTTACCTTCTAACCACTTTTCTATGCTTTCTTTTGTTCTCAAGTCCGTAACTTCTAATATACCATCAGCTACTTCTTCTCCATTCCGCTTCTCCCAAATGTTTCTCTTTCGGCACGATCAAAGGTTAGACAGTGCTGCGATTATGTTGTTTTTCAGCAGCGACATACAAAAGTTTTGTGCGCGTTGTTTGAGATTCAAAATCTGAAGCTTTTAACCTTGATGTAGAGACCTGAAGTGTCGATTTTTCATTTTACGGCACCCCAACTTGATTTATTATCCCATGGACTGCGCTTTTCAAAAATACATATTCGAAAGTGAAGAACGTCCATGTGTTTTTTTACTAGGGTAACTCATAGGTTCTTTGAATTTATAATGTTATGGATTATTAATGAATTTTTTAATTTGATGCTGAAAATTCTGTAGTAATTGAGATACCATTAAATCTGTATTTGAAGGACGTCCACTCTATCAAGTTTGAGCTCAATAATCTCTATTCCTATACAAGATACCAAAAATGTGTCAACTGACGAAAGACTTCTGATACCATGATAAAAATTTTCTCAGTTGACAACTTTTTAATATTTTTGACAGGAACCGACAAATATTGACTCAATGTTAAAAGTAAGGGGGCCCTTTTATTACAGGTTTTAAGGTCAATGGTCTTGTTTCAATCTGATCAATGTCTAAATAGAGGTTGATACATTCTTGTTAAGACATTTTTAAAAATAACAACGATCGTTTTCGAGCCAGTGATCTGATTTCTAAAAGGATCACGGCGATCGGGGTTGATTTTGACAGCCCTGAACTACCGTAAACACTCTAATTGAACGCCCAACCCGAACTTTCAACTTTCAGCCAATTTATCTCATTTCCTGAGAAAGATATCGAAAAGTTTTCAACTGAAAATTTTTTTATCATACTCTCAAAAATAATTTATCAGTTGACCACTTTTTGATATCTTTCACAGGAACCGAGATAAATTGGCTGAAAGTTGAAACTGTCTTTCTGTTTCCGGTATTGTGAGATTATTTTTGTAATCCAATACAACTGTATTTTTAAAATCTTATCATTTCAGAAGATCTAAAGTCTGAGAAATATCGAAATCTCAATTCATAGCAAACACTTTTTATTCCGGTTCTTCCTGACGTAGCAGTTGTTGCTCTTCCAAACGGAACACAATTGGCACCTGTCATCCTGTCTTCCCTTGTTCTTCTTTCCCATATTTTGCTCTTCTTCAAGAATCTCGTGTTGTCCTCTTCTTCTTTTTCTCCTTACGAATGTCCCCAGAGAGGGGACGCTTTTTGTCTCCCGTGAAGCGTAAGATATCGCTTGTATTCAGTCTTGTATCTATCCATAGGACAGGAGACCAGGGAGGGGTGTCGCTTTTTCATTTATTCATCCATCATTATTTGTTAGATATTGACACCAAGGATTATGACACACTGCTACCAGAAGTGTTTGGAAATTAGACAAAGATATAAAGGAGAAACAGTGGGGGATAAAAGATATTAGTACATTCGGCTGGTCGTACTTATTAATAATTGATCCAGAGAATATGAAACAGATAATTTGAAAGTATGAGGGAGTACAAACAATGAATTTAGCTTAGTCTGAATACAGGAAAGTCAAATTGTTAATTAACTCCTTTTCAACAAGGTTTGAAGGGTCTAGCATAGCTGAGTTCAGTTTAAAAACTTTCAACCACAACTATTTTTACTCTAAATTTTTCTACTTGTTTTTATGTCAATTATCCTAAACCCTCTCCTCCTCCGAAATGTAATAAATTATGTAATAAAGGTCGATTGCTAATGCGCTTTAGCAGCAGTAGGGAGGTGAAGGAAAACAGTTGATTCGGAGGAAAAAGAGGGCCAACGCTCATTTGATTCATTTCGAAAAAACCGAGGTTAATGGTCACACAGATTTGATGGAAATTGGGAAGAAGGATTAAATAGAAAAGAAGGAGGCGAGAGGAAGTACATTTTAGAAGTTTTAAATTAGAACAAAATTTCTTGAAATTATCGTTTCTAAATTCTCGAAAAGGTGCCGCTCAATCACGCAAACTAAAGTTTGTACTTGCATAAAACTTGAGTATTTAAAAGCATTGTACTGAGCTCAAATTTGGATTGTGAAAATTAAAATAATTCATCAATAAACTGGCCAATATTCAAACTATAAACTATTAGATCAACTTTGAGTTGAGTTACCGCTTGTCAAATTTGCTTCATCTCATGAAAATCACGAAGAAACATTACGCCGTTCATCTTTGGATAATCATAACAATACCTAGACTTGAGGAATGGCTTTGAAAATTTCAGTAGCTTTGAATGAAACTTAAAATTATACTTCTATCAACTTTCGTTCCTCCAAGAAACGTTTATCTAAAGATATACCCGTTTTTATCAGTCTGAATAATTGTACGACCTCCTGTACATCAAGCATCTTAGAAATGGCATACCGTAACCTGGTTCACATATAAGATCTTTCTAATCCAGAAAAGCATCTCATAAATTCAGAGAAACACGACTTGAAAAGAAACAGCCGTGTCATTTTGGGACATTTATCGTTTTTTGATTCCACCACTTCCTAAAAAGCAATCAATCAAACATATGCCCTCTGTTAGGTCACTTTGAATCTTCCTCTTCTTTCTCAGTTTTAATCCTAATGATGCTATTAAATGATGAAGAAGAGGAAGAAGGAAACGATGGTGTGGGTGATTCAATAACTCATAAAAACTTTGTGCAACGCCAATTAAAAATAACTAAACGGAAAGTATAATCGACTTGGAGTATAGAGAAATTAGGGTTTTTTGTTTCATCTATTCTAGAGCTTGGATTACAGAACACTAGCTATTTTTAAAAATAAATCTCAAAATTTTGATTAAAATTCTCAAAACCGGAGCTATACTTCTTCATCAAGCGAATCCTTTCATTAATCATTGTCAAATGCCCTCCTTCTCTTTACTTTTCTCATTTCTTTTTGAACGTAATTGATTGTTCATGGCCAACCGGAAAAGAGAGAAGAAAAGCATCCTCACAAACGGATGCTCCAAAAGAAAAGAACGTAAAAAGAAATGGAAGAAAAATGAGGTGCGAATAAATCAAAACTTGAAAGAAAACGAGCGAAAATGGGAGAGGAAAAAAGGCAAAGGGAAGGACACCAGAAGTTCGGAGAAGAGATGAATGAATTTGGGATGAGGAGGGTATTCTGAGCTTTTGCGTGCATCTGTGTATTAAAACCAGACAATGGGATAACACAACAAAATTATAATCGCAACATCAAATCATGTACAGCAATTCGTTTAGCGACGTTCTTATCACCCGACTAAGTTCCAATTTTTATTGGTCAATTCGAAATTTGAATTATATTTTTTCCGGATTTCGAATTCTAGTTTTCGTATTCCATGTTTCTTCATTCCGTATTTTGGATTTTGAATTTTCATTCCGTATTTTGGATTTCGGATTCCGAAAAAAAGTATTCCAATAAAGCACCACGTGTGTTTTTCAGATTTCTTTTGCACACTGGAGACGTCGGAATTCCGGATTACGTATTCTGTTTTCCGGATCTCGCGTTCTAACTGTTTTCTAATTACGGATTTCGTATTCAGAAAAATTAATTTTTCCGGATTCCGTATTTCAGATTCCGTGGAATTTTTCCGGATTCCTTATTACGGATTCCATTGAAGCTTCTGTGCTTCTACAGTATAAAAGGTTTACTCTAACACCTGAAAACTATTTCTATCTCACCCCAAACATTTTTCGGACCACAATAAGATGGTCATTTTTCAAAAAAATGTTCGCTTGTGTTTCGCTTTCCGTACCTCCAGAAAATCACTCTCCAGGGACATATTATTTCAAAACAACACACAAACACACACACACACTTTTCCTCTCTTCCTGAGATCTCCTTCTTCTTGTTGTTCGTTCGTGTCAGTTCAGAGAATCCGCAACACAAAATTATTGCTTTTTTAGAGTTTCAGTTCTTTAGAAGAGGAAAAAAAGGAAAGAAACAAAAATGAAGGAGAGGAGAAAATAAAAGAAAAATAATGGGTCTTCGAACTCCTTTTTTTGTGTTTCAATTGCTATATAATTCCCTGAGGAAATGAATTCGGCAGAAGATGTTGCCAAATTTGAGATTTAGTACATTGAGAAAAGGGTCAAAATGATCTTAGAGAAAAAAATGAAACTTTTTTTCAGATACGGAAACAGAAGTTGATCTATTGGCTCCAGTTAAAGCTTCATTAAATGCAGATGCACGGGTATTTCGAGCCAAAGGAATTGAATCATTACCAGCCATTGGGTTACAGGTAAGTTATCGAAAATACGATTTTTTGGCTCTCTTCTGAAAGCCGAGGCTCATAATTTTTCAAGTTTTTAAATAAATAATCCGGTCGAGCTTGTCTGGAATCGGTTGCTTTCGAGATTCCATTTGCAGAATGTTCTAATCCAAGCAATGTTTTCAGAGAGGAGTTGAAATTGCAGTACCGTATCGTTTGTATCTCCCACGAAACTTTTTCAAACAATTTTCACTTCTTGCCACAATCAAACCTATGGATAAACGGTAACATATTCAACCTAAAAGCTCATATTCTATAGAATTTTTTCAGAGGAGGATACCTATTTGCTGCTGTAAATGCATATGACTCTGCAGTTGATATTGGATTACTCATTGAACCAGCTGGTAAGCGAAACTATTAAGAATTTCAAATTTCTCAACTATAAACTTGTAGGTACAAAACAAACGAACATTTCTCTGATTGTTCGATCAGTGGCAATTGTTTCGTTCCTGGTGGAAGACTTCTCTCAACAATGGACTCAATTTGCACTGGAAGTTATTGATCAGACGGTTACATTCTACTTCAAATGCAGAAGATTTGCTTCAAGACAAGTAAAGATTTTATTTTTAGTTTTGAAATCACCGTAAAACCTGAATGGTCCGCCATCCTAACTTCTAACTTTGAGCCAACTTATTTCGGTTCCTACCGGAGATATCAGAAAGTTGTCAACTAATAAATTGTTTTTCATAGTATCAAAAATAGTTTGTCAGTTGTCACATTTTTGATATCTTTCACAGGGAGCGAGGTGAATCGGGCCCTTCTATTACATGTTTTACAGTCACTATGGAAATGAAGAAATTGTTGTTTTACATATTTGGAACTCTTCGACCATCGGACTTTTTTTCAGGTAACATCGCTACCAGATTTTTCCTTCGATGAAGCTGAAAAACTGTACATTGCAAGCGCTGGACCAATTATTGACAATGGATTCGAGGTAAGTTATCTTATTTTTCTGGTTTTCATCTCAATCACAAAACCATTTCGCACGAGTAACATGACATCAACAAGTTTTGAAAATCATATTTTCTAAAAAAGTTGAAATATGATAGCAACTGATTCTTCATGAATCATTTATTTAAAAAACAGAGAGAAACAAAGAATGCGTGGTTTCTGTTGACATAGTTGTTTTCTCTCCAACAATCCTCCTTCAAGTTTTAAACTTTCCCGCTATCTTTTTCAAAAATTTCTCCTAAAATATGTTCCTTTTTCTAAGTGTTCAAAATATTCGAAATTCAAATTCTGTGCTTCCCATTACTCTTTGAACATCTGTACAGTAATCTGACATTAAAAACCTAATCAACATTGTCAATTAGAACCTCTAAAAGAACGCCGCCGTTTGAGTTCTTCCGACTCTAACCACATATTTTCTGCGTCTCTCTCAATCAAACATTATTACTCCTAAACCCAAAAATGTCTCTCAATGTGTACTTTTGAATTGGGTTGGTTTTCCCACGTATCATCGTTACTTTTTTGGTCGCTTGAATGGGCGGTCCACGTCGTACTTGGCACAGACCATCTATTGTTGAATGGCCTGAGCAAATGTCAAATTTCGAATAGATTACACTTCTCTATCAGTTTTGAATTCAAAGTGGTAATGGCAGTTTTGACTGATTATTAGCATTTTCAAATATTTGTGGTTCAAAGCATTTTAGGAAAAATACCGTAGAACGCCATCCTTGCTCAGTTATCTCAATTTTTATAAGAGATCACAAAAATCTGTCAACTGATACAATGCTTGTCATAATATCACCAACATTTTATCAGTGGAGTGGGACATTTCGAATATCTTCTGATTCGGATATCTCGTGGAGACATTTCGGATATCTCCTTTGAAAATTGAGAATTTGAGCTCAAAGTGCGAGTACAGGGTGGCTTTCTATTAGACTGTTTACGGTATTCTGTTTTTTTTTCGATTTTTCCGCTGATTTTCATAGATTTGAATGAATGATTCTCCTGATTTTCAGAATTTAGTAAAATTTAGATTAGACTAAAATAACATATGATCTCTAGAAATTTCCATAATGATTCTGAATCTAGAATTCCTGTCGGCTTATCTCTCAGTTTTATCTTGAGATTGTGTCATATCTGTGTTTTGTTATCTGAATTGTTACCAGATGAAAGTTGCGATTTTCTATTAAACTTTTCTATTTCTGTTTCATTTTATTTCCAGAACATTAATATGATTTTGTAGTTTGAATAATTCAAAGAATTCGAGTTATGACATATCAAAGCATAACTCTGTCATTGTTTTTTTCATTTTTTTGCAAAAAAGGAAACGATTGATGTAATTTTGTAATAGTCATGTGCCAGGAAAACATTCTAAAATTGGCTGAAATTTCGGCACTTTCAGTATAATTGAGACACAAAATGATCTAGTATATAAACAAAGAAAGAATCGGACATTTCATTTTGTCATTTTTAGAGTTGTACCACATTGAAATGCCTTAAAAATTCTGAATTTTTTTGAAAACGAGAAGAAATGAGATCTCCTGAAACCACCATAAAAAACCCCATCAAAATCACTTTTCGTATATCCGGAAAAGCATTGAAGGAGCAAAGCGAAAACGTAAACTATTTTGGCTCAAAGTGCATTCAGATGCACTTCAAAGAAAAGTTTATTTATAAAAAAATTAGGATGATTTTTCGGGATTATTAGCTAATTTTTGAGGTCGATTTGTTGATCTTTTTTCTTGTTTTTTTTTCAATTCCTAGCCAACTTTTGAATTTATTTGACACTGAAATCGTAGTATTTCTGGATTTCGCTGCTTAATTTTCAAACCGACCGTCGTCATACACTACAGTAATCTTTTTTGACAAGTCTCTTTTCTAAAGCTCTAGTTATATATTATTCTGGTACATAAAATCTGAGCTGAGGAAGAGAAACGCTGGTGGCCTTGGCCAGAGGTTCCAAAACGACAACTACAGTAACCAAAAAATATTTTTTTTTCTGAAAAAATTGACTGATAACGTACGAAAATCAAGAAAAACTTCAGAAAATAAACATAATTTAAGGTTACGGTAGTTCTCGTTGCGAGACCATCGACCACGGCTACCTTCCTCTTCCACAGCGTCGATTTTTTCTAACCAGTATAATACAAAATACAGTAACACTTCTGAAAACTATTTCAAAGCCTTAGATATGAGACCAGAAAAATTGGCTCCCTATTTCTTTTCAATCATTTAACATCTCGGAAAAAAGATACAAATGTTAAGAAAAAGAACGACAAAGACACGAATGCTATCTGGATGAGTGTTTCGATGAATCATCTCCAACTTTGAAACTTGTAACTCAATTCCTACAGTATCTCCTTTTTGTTTTTCTTCTCGCACGTCTTGTGGACAAGTTTTTTTTTCGATCATGACACAAACTTTTAGTTGCAATCCACGCCCCCATTCTTCTTTTAATAAATGTTTCTTGGTGGTGGAGCTCTCTTCTTCTGTCACATTCCCATCATCCACTCAATACCACAAACACCTTCTTCTTCATTTTTTTTTCCACAAAACTTGTGTGTTTCTTTTCATCATTTTGATATCAAATCACACTTCTTCTCCTCCCCTATCCTATCTCGTATGATATATAAAAAACTGAGGCGCCTGGCTGCTCTCGAGGAGGAGAAGTTGCTCCGATCTCGCAGCAGTCTATGATTAATTCGTTGGTCCTTTGGTTCACTCGTTTTCTAGGTCGCCTGTTCGGTTGATAACCTCACGAAAGAGACTTGCTCCCGAGAACTAAACTATAACTTTTTGAAACCAATGTTTAGTAGTTTGATTCTTATAGATTTATTTTTTTATTGAATTGAGCTTTTAGATTTCAAATACCGTAAACACTCTGATAAGATGCCCCCCCCCCCCCCTCAAACCGTCAAATTTAAGCTCATATATCTCATTTTCTGTAAAAGATATCAAAAAGTTGTTAACTGACAAAAAGTTTACCATATTAGCATGAGAATTTAACCAGTTGACTACTTTTTGATATCTTTTACAGGGATCGGGATGTATGGACTCAAAGTTGACGGTTTGAGTGGCATAGAGTATTTTGTCTTCCAGACATTCCAGACGATTCTGGAACTTTTCGAAGACTATGATGTCTTCACTCTCATTTTATTTTCGGCTCTTCCTTCTATTTTTTTTCTCGCGAAGTCATCTGAAAAATCTCTACTCCAGATGCGTCGTCTCCTTGCACTATTCGTAGTGCTCCTCCTGATTTTTGTTTTTGTTCATGGTGGATCTGAAGAGTTGGATAACGAAGATTTCCCTCTTCTTTCCTCTGAACAACAGGCTTCCTCACCAGAAGAACGGAAAGAATTTTCGACGTCTCCAGAAGACTCATCTATTCCTGGTACCGTATTCCATGTTCACATTCCTCTCGCTGATGCAAGAGTGCGTCAGGCACGAGCATCTTCGGAAGAACGAGAAATCGTTACTGAAAATGTCATGTTACCCGTGGAAATTGTTGAAGTGATTGATGATGGAACCGGATTTGAAGATGATGGAAAGGTAAAACCTTTTTTGATTATTTCAGGGAGCCATACAAGAACTTAAATTGATTGATGATGCATCTCAAGGCTCACGACAGTGTGATGAGCAATGGGTAGGACAAAATATTTAAGTAGAGAAAAAGAAATTTGAAAAAAAAAACCATTAGATTTTTGTAACTTTTACAATTATATGAAAACATGTAAAATCTCTGTAGTGGCGTCGTCGAAAGCTCGAAAAAGAACGAGATCAAACAAGAAAGGTGAGTTCTGATATTGTTCTGGTTTTAAAAAAATCGAAAGTTCCACAACGAAAGCTACAGTAACCTAAAATCATTTTCATTTTCGAATTTATTCTCTCAATTTTCGTGATAGTTTTAGGTTACGGTAGTTGTCGTTGTGGGTACTTTCAAGTTTTTGTACCAGAATAATACGTCATGTGACGTTGTCAGCTTACTGTAATATGTGTCATCGATTTTAGAATTAGAAGATGTCCGTTGGTGAAAATGTTCAATTTATCTAGGGGGTTTCAAGATTTGTCGTATTAAGAATCATATTTTTAACATGAAATTCTTGGAAACCCAATTGAACTTCTTTTTAAAAATGTTTCGTTCAGAATGTCGAAGGATCCGGAACACCAGAAGGATTGAAAAAAGATCAAGAGTCATCAGAATTGCAAAAGATTTCGGAACTTCCACCCACTCCAGCGCCTCCACCACCATATCCAACCCCTCATTTGGCTGCTCCACAGGGTGAGTGGGAATCCAATTTTGACAGAATCTTCTCAAAAACTATGGAAATTCCAATCACTTTACAGATCTATTTCTCTCAGATGACTCACTTGTTGTACCTTTTATTGGGGGTTACGGTAGCCCAGCAACTAGAGGTTTAATAATTGAGAGATTCCCGTCTTGAAGTTCGAATTCGACTGTTTTTCTTTTTCTTAGATTTGCATGGTGTGAAATTTGGAATTTAAGAATATGGAAAGTTTAAAGTCACAATTTCATATTAATCAAAAAACAAAAAAATCATCCGAATTAGAAAATTAGAAAACGAACCAAAATACCGTATTTCCTCTAATAGTAACCAACCCCAACATTATACTTTGAGCTCAATTATCTCAATCCTTGTGAGAGATATCAAAAAGTGATCGACTGATAAAACATTTCAGATATTGTGATAAACAGTTTATCCGCTGACCACTCTTTGATATCTTTGAATGGAACCTAGAAAAATTGGCTCAAAGTAAAAGTTTGGGGACTTTCTATTACAGATTGTATGGTACACTTTTTTAGCCGAAAAATTCTTCAGATGAAGAGAAAAAGTGTGCGGCTTTACCCCATAGTTCATAGGATATCATTTTTTAAATACCTTCTTCCTATTTCAGATCTGCGTTCTTACGAGCAACAAGCAGCAACGACTCCATTCCAAGGTGTCCCATCACCCCAAGGACAATGTACTCAAGTATGTCGCGGAGAAACTGGACCACAAGGACCACCTGGAAAAGATGGAATTCCTGGGTCACACGGAGCACCTGGTCATCAAGGAGAAAGAGGAAGTGATGGATCTCCAGGAGTTCATGGCTCACGAGGAGAGCAAGGTCCACAGGGACCGCCTGGAATGCCGGGTCTAGCTGGACCTCCAGGACCACCGGGAACCGGATCTGTCACTGGATCAGGAGGTGTCGCACAACCAGGACCACCAGGACCACCAGGACTTCCAGGAGCACCAGGAAGAGACGGAGCTGCTGGAGTTGAAGGGCAACGAGGACCACATGGACCACCAGGACCAAAAGGAGATGATGGTGTTAGTATGGAGAGTCTAACAGATGGAGATATTGAAAGAATTGCCAGAAGAGTGGCAGCGATTCAGAAGGAATCTCAGGAACCAATGAGAGGAGACCTTCCGGAGTATAATCCTAGAGTTCACAGTTACACAACAAAAGGAGAAAAAGGAGAACGAGGGGCGCCTGGTGCTCCGGGAGCACCCGCTTATGGAGGTTTGCTTTGTTTATTTCTAAAAATTTAAAGAACGAAAATGTTCCCAAAGACTTGCTATAGTTTTTGTTACTCTTTCTTTCAAAAATGGAAACGACTCTCTACTTTTTTCTGATTCTTTCTGTATTGTTCCCTAGCCATTCTACAGTATATGTATTTCCGATTCCTGAAGTGTTTTTGAAAGGTATTCTAGAAAGTTAGAAAAAATTTTGGACCTGGAAAATCACAAAAATTCACGAAAATTTCCAGCTATCACAACTGGAACTGCTGTCAATGTTCATGCAACAACTGTCGAATTATTCGCCTCTGCCCGTGCAACATCAGTTGGACAATTGGCTTTCGCCACGTCATCTCAGCAACTATTCATTCGAGTTACAAACGGATGGAAGGAAATTCAATTGACCCATTTCCATCCGTTCTTGGAGACTAGACAATCAACGGTTTGTGTTTGATAGGGTTACTGTAGTTATTGTTAGATTTTTGAATTTTTCTTCAATAAGTTTTTTGTTTTTTTTTTCATTTTTAGCCAATTGAACTAGATTCACGCTATTCACCAAATAGCATTGAATTCTGGGTGAGTTATTCCAAATGTTGTGATTGTCCTGTGAGGTTTTTTTTGAGTATAATTTCCTAGATTTGTTTTGAAATCATCTGTATTTTTCCATCTCAGAGCCGTCAAAATGGTCATAAATGTTCATCGCGACACCCGCGAAACTCAAATGTAACTTATCGATATTAGTTTTGTCGCCTATTTTTTAAGCAGTCACTCCCCACTCACTGAGCAGCTTTAATCCATTCGTCAACATCAGAGAGGTCCGGAATGACTTTTCTGAACAACGGAATCCGGAAGAAAAAGTTTTCTAGCAATCTATAATTTGGGATCTGGAATCCGGAATCCGGAATCCGGAACTCAAAATCCGGAATCCAGAATCCCGAACCCGGAATCTGGAAACGAGCATCCAGAACCTGGAATCCGGAATCCGGAAACCTGAATCCGGAATCCGAAACCCAAAACCCGGAATCGGGAAACGTGAGTCCGGAATCGGGAATCCAGAATCCGGAATCCGGAATCTTGAATCTGGAATCTGGATATCCGAATTTCGGATTCCCAATTCCGAATTTTAATTTCCAATTTGCAAGTTCTGAATTCTGAGTTCCGGATTTCGATTTCCGGATTTTTCTGGTCAACACCCGGACCGTCACAGTACTATCTACGATGGTCACGATGTTCGAGAATGGACAATCCCGAGAGAAAACAGTTCCTCTAGTTTTTTAGTTTAGTTTTCTTCTCCCCTCCCCCCTTCACTCTCACAATCATGTTAACCTAGGTTTTTAATAGTTTTTCTAGGTTTTTGTAAGTCCTATGCACTTGTTCTTGTCCAGCACACTTTTAAGTAAACGAGTTTAATAATTTAGAAAAATAAATTTATCTGTAATTTCAGCAAAACTCTCGTCAAAACGATGCCTCTCAACCGGCAAGACCAGTCGTTTCTCCTTGGCACCCGAGAGCGAATTTGGAAGAACCTCAAAAAGATTCAGGTCCACACAACAAGGATCGAGTGGTAAGGCCTCTCGCTGGGAAACTTAGATTTTAGATGGGTATTTAAGATTCATATGATTGCCCTGTCCCAACCATTCGCTGGAAACATCCATGGACTTCGTGGAGCGGATCTTCAATGTTATCGTGAAGCGAGAGCATCTGGATACACAACGACATTCAGGGCAATGTTATCCAGTAACGTTCAAGATCTGGTTAAAATCGTTCATTCCGTCGATCACGATACTCCGGTAGTAAACATCGCAGGACATCATTTGTTCGCTAGCTGGAGATCGTTTGTAAATGGAGCAAAAATCAATCAGCATGCTCGTTTGTTCTCTTTTGATAGACATGATGTTCTCAACGATTCGAGATGGTAAATAATTTCTGGAATTAGAAAAATGGAAATTGTCTTATTTAGGCCAGATAAACGAGTGTGGCATGGATCGAAGGAAGGTGGAATTCGCGCCGATCAATACTGTGATGGTTGGAGACGATCCGATGGTAAGGTTTGATTTTGTAAGTACACAGTGTTATTTATTCAGCCTCCATTACTTCGCTGGCCGGCCAAATTTATTCAAACACCACCATTTTCCAATCAAGTGGACCTTCGACCTGCGAGAACAAATTGGTGATTTTGTGTGTGGAGGTAATAGCAAAGATAATATATTATTCTGTTACAAAAATTGGAACAGTGGCAGAATATCCCACAACGATAACTACCGTAACCTAAAAATATTCGTATTTTCGGTATTTATTTTTCGGTTTTTCAACTGATTTTGGTCGATTTTTCTGGTATTTTCCAGTAAACTAGTCGGAAAATTGAATTTTTGACAGTGAAAAATTATCTGAACACGCACGAAAATTGAGAAAATAAATCCGGAAAATAAAAAGTTACGGTATTTAGAAAAGTTTGTATTACGATAGTTTTCGTTGTAGGAGCATCGGCCACGGTCAGCTCCGATTTTTTGTAGAATAATAAAATGAGGGAAATTTTTCCTTCAATTTCTCTTTTTCCAGAACATGTCCAAATATCACAGCGATCGAATTCTCCGTCTCAACAGAATCACCACCGACTTCAAGATTTAAAAGCTCTTTTTGCCCCTTCGAAATATTTTAGATTAACTTTTGTTTTTATTTCAAAAAGAACCCACCCTTTTCCTACGAACCTCAACCCCGACCAAAAATAAAATAATCATTCAATTTCTCTCCAAATTATAAAAAAATCTCGAACCCTGACTTCTGAAAACGGCTGCCCAGTTCACTAATTGTTTGCTTTATAAAGTTTATTATAATGCCTGAATTTCTTTCCTTTCTAATAACTGCCATTTTTGTTTGAAATTATGCAATAGATAAAAGATTAAACTAGATAGATTTAAAATTCCATGGAGATTCAGGAAACTTTATATGACAAAAATCGGGATCATTTTACAAGAACAATTATGAAAAAGTACATGTGGAAATTACATAATGTGAATAAGTTAAAATAGAAAACGATATTTTATCGATGATACTGCTGCCATTGCTGCTGCTGTTGTGGATTTGGACCTTGAGGTGGCGGCATTCCACGTCCAGGCATATATGCTTGTTGAGGTACTCCTTGAGGACGCATTCCCATCGTCATGCCCATTTGTGGATTCATATATCCTTGTGGACCTGGTCCAGGAGGTTGCCCAGGTCGTTGCTGGTAGTATCCGGATGGTCCTGGTTGTGGCATCATTTGCATCATTGGTGGACCCTGTGGAGCATGGAAGTCTTGGGGTCCATAAGGAGGACCCATTGGACCATACTGAAAGTTGTATTTGGAAAACGATGCATTTAGTACGACTCACTCTTCCAACAGGAACGTTTCCCATTCGCATCATCTTAGCTTGCGGACCTCCATCATCCATTCCACCCTGCATCGAATCGTGCATCTGTTGATACTGCATCTGAAACTTTATAAATGGTTGATGCCTGCTGTTTATTTAATATGAATTTATTAAGTTTTTGAACCACTTACGTGATGCTGCGACTGATGCTGTTGCTGCATCATTTGGTGTGCATGCCCATCAGGAGCGACCACGCCAGGATGTGGTCCTCCCATAGGTGGCTGTCCCATTTGTGACGGCACCATCTGTGGCTGTCCCATTTGTGGCTGACCCATTTGTGGCTGTCCCATTTGGGGTTGTCCCATTTGTGGCTGTCCCATTTGAGGCTGTCCCATCATCTGTGGAGGGCCGATTTGTGGTTGCTGCATTTGCTGTTGCTGTTGTTGTTGTTGTTGTTGTTGTTGTTGCTGTTGTTGTTGTTGTTGTTGTTGCTGTTGTTGCTGAAATTGGTCAATTGGAATCTAGAAGCGCGCCGCGAGAAATACACTATATTTTAATAAACTCACTGTTATTTGCTGTTCCTTTTTAGCATATGGGATTGGATATCTGTTAAAGACGTCATCTGTTTCTCTAGGCGGGCGTTCCATTTTCTGAATTCATGTTTTGTTTCAATAAAAAATTACTTTAACATACTCTGAAGTAGATATCGTTCATTGCTTCTTCACAACTAACGCGTTTGAGTGGATCGACAGTCAACAGTTTAACGAGTAATCGGTACGGGGAACTCTGTGAATTGATCTTCCATTTATCAAAATATCTTTGCAGACTGTTAGGGAATGTTTGGATTGGTGTTCCTTCGTTTCTAGCATCGTTCAAAAGTCTCTGATGATCTGGCATTTTCTTCATGTCTGGCCAATCCGTATCGGATGGATATCCCAAAAGATGGAATATCCTGAAATTTTATTTCTTAGTTCCTGGTTCATCTAATAATTCTCTAACCTCTTGACTTGATCATAGTGATATGGGTTCTGCGCTTTGATATCCTCTTCTTTACAGAAGAATAGTGGTTCGGCTGTCAAGAGCTCAGCGAAAATACATCCAATCGCCCATACGTCGATAGCCTATAAATCAAGTATTTTATATTTTGATTTTCTCATTTGAGGTTACCTTTGTATAATGTTTGGCACCAAGTAGAAGCTCAGGAGCACGATACCAAAAAGTCACGACTACGGGGTCCAACTCTGCCATAGGTTTCAAAGGATTTGCAAAAATTCTCGAAAATCCCAGATCAGCTATTTTTACCCTGAATATTCAAATTATGATAGCAATGAACTTAAAACCTTGTCTACCTTCCACGCATATCTGGTCCTCCATCCCCCATAAGAAGAATGTTTGCAGGTTTGAGATCACGATGAAGGACCCAATTAGAATGAAGATAGTGCATCCCTATATTGAAAAAAGTACAGTTGTATGAAATTAGTGATAAAATCTACCAGATAAAATTTGGAACAGTATATTTTTGACCATGTTTCGTGGGACCATTATTGGAACTTTTTTGGTCTTTGCAGTTCGGTGATGCTTAATGACGTGCCAGAGATCGTGTTCAGCATAGTCTAATAAAAGCCATACTTTCTTCTCGTTAGTGAGGAAAACCCGTTGCAAGCATATGAGATTGGGGTGCCTTGAAATGGACCTTGATAACATTCAATTATTAGGACCTTACCTCAATTCTCGAAAAAGTGCAATTTCTCGGCACGCCGACATAGAAAACCCTTGACCTTCTATCATTTTTAATGCATATTCTTTGTTTGGGAATCGTCCGTTGGAATGCTTCGGCACGGCTTTGTAGACTAATCCATATGTTCCTCGACCGATTTCTTTTGAGTTCTCAAAATAGAACAAATCCTCAACTCGTTCTCGGCTAACTGCTAGTTTCTTTTTGAAGTTTTCGTCAATCATCAACCTGTAACAAAAAATCTCACTAGTCGAAATATTTCTTGATCAGTTGAATATATCGCTATCAAATTGTCATTCATACTGATTATAATTTTATAGCTTCAACAAGTTAAAACCGTTTTAACTTACGTCATTCTGCAGGAACACCTCCAACGACAACGCCTTCAACTGATCAGATTCATGAATCAATGAGAAAATGTGGGAGACTACGGTATGACTGTCCGCAAACACTATCATTGCATACTTCACATCGCATTTTACGACATTTCCCTAATCGCTCTTCTCCAATTTCCTTCTTCTTCTCATAAATATCGAAGTTTTGTGTGAATCGAACAATGTGGTTCGGTTTCAGTAACCGCAGTTCGATGTTTAAAGATAACTAATCAAAAACACACAGTAATTAACAAAACACGATGATGCGCACATCAGTTGACACTTGAAACCAATGGATACGTATATTGATCGCTCGTAGAGGTTCTTCGCCGTAAATTAATAGAACAACGCCCAATAAAACTGCGTTGATAAATTACTTTCAGGATTGTGGCATCATCTGGACGACAGCATGTTCTCCGTTTCTGATTGTTTCTAATAAATTATTTTTTCGTTCACTTGTTAATTCCAGTATGTTCTGTTAACAGCCCATTTCAAGTAATAGTTTGCAGATCGGCCTGTCCAAATGCAAATGGGTGATCATCAAATGATGGGAAACCAAAGGTGAGACTTTGTTTCTGATCAACACCACAAATTATTGGGCTTTATTTGGAAATATGAAATTGCAGAGCATTCGTGCAAAAAGTTATTCCGGCTCCGAATGGCGGTGGAGTTCCTCAGAATGTAACTTATGTGCAGAATCAAGGAGTTCGAATGGTTCATCCAGAGATTAATGGGCAGCAGAGAGTGAGCCTTTGTTATTATTGTAGTGTATTCAAAGTGTATAAATAAGAAGATATCTCAAAGCGAAAAACAAAATACCACATATAAGGTGGAGACGCAGAAACATTCTATCTGTATCTCAACCTACATTATTTCAGACAATTATAGTATCTGAACTTGATAGTATAGATATGATATTATTCCCTGAGCCCAAACCAACTCTTTTGAGCGGAATTGATTTTTAAAAAATGCTAGATAAAAATAGGAGAACTCTTGTAGATTACGAATTTTAGATTTGAAAAGATGCGAACAAAGATTTCAGATAATGCAGCCCATTGCTCGGCAAGTCCCACAAAATGGAACTGGTCCACACTTCGCAAGGCAAAATCCAGCGGGACAGCAGTTTCAACCAAACTATGGGGTTAGTTTATATAACATCAACTACATATTTATATATAGAACATTTTCATAAAATTTTTCTATTCAACACAGTTTATGATATCTCTAAGTTGCAGGGAACGATCGCCGGACGTAGTGTGGCTGTGAGGGCAGTTCAAGTTCAAGGAGGATCTCAAGTCTATCAAAGTAAGCTTTTTTGTCCGTGGTCTCTAAATCTTATATTGATACAAAACAAATTTCAGGAACAACTGGCGGGATCCAAGTTGTTGCTCAAGGTTCGCAATCACAGCCGCGACAAATGTATATGGCAACAAATAATGGACAGCAGGGAGTTCCAGTTGTTCAGGGGCAACGCATAATACAGCAAGTACGTCCAACTTTTGATTCGAGTGGTTACAACGCATGTGTTAGCGGATATTTCAGGGTCAGCAACAGCATCCGTCTCAACAACATTTCAGTCGTCCACAGCAAACTCAGAATCAGATGCTGATGCAGCAACATCATCGGCAACAGAATCTTGTACAGCAACCATCCCAGCAACATCAAATGAATCAACAACCACAGATGGTCCGTCAGCAAATTATGCCACAACACCCAGCTCCAATCCCTCAGCCGCATATGCAACAACGCTCTCAGCAACAAGTGTATGGTCAACCTGGTATGAATCTCGCTGTTCCCTTAAGAGAACCATCTCCAGAACCGGTAAGGCACCCAGCTTGTACACATTTTATATAATGCTGTGTTTCAAGGTGGTAATCAAGACTGAGCCTCAGCCGGAAGTAGAAGTCTTTAAAAAAGAAGAAGAACCGATGCCTGACGACAGTGATATTGATATTCAGGTATGCCATTAGTCAATTTCAAGATTTTATGAAAACAAAAAACGAAATTTCAGATCCGAAACGTGGTTTGTAACTACACCCTTCCTCTTCATATTGATCTTCGTAAGTTGGCAATGAACACTCACAATGTGACATATGAAAGAGAAAAAGGAGTGATGATGAAACAGAAAAGGAATCCTGGGTGTTATATCAAAGTGTACAGTTCTGGAAAAGTTTACATTGTGGGATGCCGTAGTGAAGATGACTGTAGGCGTGCCGCCCGTTCGATTGCTAGACATGTTCAACGAGTTATGGGAAAGACGAAAGAAAAAGTTTCTATTCGTAATTATAGAGTAAGACCGTTGAACACATCTAAGATCTTCATTATAAGAACGTATTTCAGGTTAACAATGTTTTAGCTACATGTCGTTTGCCTTTCGGAATAAAAATCGAAGAAGTTGCTGCAAAGTATCCAGCAGAATCGACGTACGAGCCAGAATTGTCGGTCGGACTTGTCTGGCGGTCGACAACACCAAAAGCCACGTTACGAATTCATACCACTGGGTCCATCACTGTAACGGGAGCGTCTTCTGAAGCCGACGTTCTTGAAGTTCTCTCTAAAATTTATCCGATTGTTCTTGACTTCCGTTGTCACGAACGCGCGAAAGGCAATGTTGCTGCTCAAAAGAAACGAAAACGGAAGGCGCCAACGAACAAAGGGTATGTATCAGTTGTAACTACAAATGCCGTTTGCAAAGTTATTTTATTTTTCAGAACAACAATCAAACGCCAACGTTTTGACGACGCCAATTATGGTAATTCGGGAGTTATCAACAACCAGGTTAGTTATTTTAAAGATATAAGAGGCTTTCATGCTCCTATAAAAAGTCGTAAGCGTGGAAGAGAAACGCCGGTGACCGTGGTCGTAAATCCCACAACGAGAACTACCGTAACCTAGAAACAATTTCATTTTCATGATTGATTTTTTATGTTCTTTTCTAAAACATCCGAAAATGAAATTATCTGTGGTTAAAAAGCTGTTTGAAAAAATAAGGAAATCGAGAGAAAAAAATTCTAAAGATGTAAAAATTATAGGTTACGGTAGTTGTAGTTGTGCGACCTCCGCTAACGAAATATCTGTTTAAATCACATTATTTTTGCAGGTATATTTCTCGGACGAAGACGAAGACCTCTACGATGATCTCGATTTGGAGGACTGAAATTCCCTTTGTTTTCTTTTTTCCTTTTATTTGCTTCTTAATTAGAATATAGCATTTCCATTTCATCAGTCGTTCTTTCCGTTTATTCTTGTCATAATTCATTTTCTCCCCGTCGTATTTTAGCCTATTTTTTCTAAGTTTTTTCTCGTGTGAGTGTGTCCAAAATGCTTCAAGTTTCATGCTTTATCCGCCTCTTCCCAGTCTCTCTCAAATCTTCAAAAATCTCCTACCCATTTTTTGTGTAAAATTAACTCAGAATACCAAGTTTTTCTCGTTCCATTCAGATTTCTCCCCATCTCTCTTCTTTATTTGCTCTCTACTTCATCATTTCACCACCTTTGTTTTCCACTGAAAAAATGCTCGAATTTTCTGAATTCCCTAAAATTGTTCTTTCCCAAAAATCCCCATTTTTAATGACAATCTTCTATTCCTTTTCTTCTCTTCCCTTGACGATAATTCCGCTAAAAAATGTTCTTAAGAAAAACGTGTTGCTGTCAAGATGTAGCTTTTCTTTCCACTTACATGTATTTTTTTCCTCTTAATATTTTCAGACTGATTTCAGTCAGATTTTAAAAACCACTCTAGAACCTAGTTTTATTATTTCGCTTATTACACACATTTCTCGCTTTTCTGAACAATACTTTATTTTCTTTTCAAGAGACGAATGAAAACACTTGATTTGAACATTGAACAAAAAGACATGTAAAATTGAAAAATTGACAATTTTAAGAAAACTATTATATCTTCAATGATTGGTATCCTTCCTGGCTGATGCTCGGAACGCACGCTCCTTCTCGAACTGGCGGTTGTCGGCTCGATCCAAAAATTCCATTTTGTTCAAATAGCCGCCCTTTCCACGATTATGCGACTCCAGGTCTTCCTGTAATTATTTGATAGTATTGACGAGCATATTTATGTATTATTCCGGTACAAAACATCAGAGCTTTGGAAGAGAAAAGCTTTTGGCTGTGGCCTGAGGTCCCACAACGACAGCTACAGTAACTTAAAAATATTATCAACTTCCGGATTGACCTTCTCGATTTTCGTGCGTTTTCACTATCGAAAATTTTATTTTTGCATTTATTTTTACGGTTGTTGTCATTTTTGGAATTCGGCCACGTTTTTTGTACTGGAATAATAGCTGGAATAAGAAGCTGACGGATTATAACCTCACTCAAAATTCTGGACTAAATAATAGTCGACACTTAACAGCTTGCAAAAAATATTTTCATAATGTGCAATTATTCCAGCCACAAATCTTCCAAATTCTTTTAAAAAATACCTTTAAATTGTTCTGTGCAGTGAATGCTTTCCAATCTTGGTCAGATCTCTCCAATACTGACATTTTGGACCGTTTTGACAGAGCTTTAGCGGCGTCTAACAAACCAACCCTTTTTTTACCGACAGTCACGTTTTCTGGTTGAGAAGTTTTTTCTGAAGCTTGTGGCCTAAAACAGCATTATCGAAAAACATTTTTTTATATACACTAACTTTTTTGGGTAAACCTTTGGTGATTCAGCTGAAGTTGAAGAAGAACTTCTGTAAAATCATATTTAAATCTTCCTTCACGATTAATAAACTCACTGAGCAACTTTTGGATAAACTTTCGCTTCCCCTTGTGAGCTGCTTGGCTCTGAACTAGAACTTGAAGATGGAGGTGCTTGACCAGTGAGAGCAGCAAAAATCGCGTCGACGTCCACTTTGTTATCAGGAGGAGCGGCTGCAGATTTATCAGTTGACTTCTCGGTGTTGGATTCCTTTTTCAATTGCTCAACGTCGTCTTCTGCTTCCAGATCTCCTTCTTCGGCGTCATCGATCTGTTCAGGAGAGTGTGCAATAAAAACTCGGTATCTTGGAAATCTTACTTCATCTTGAGGGTTAAGCTCAGTGTCTTTTGTTGGGTCGTAATCCTCATCGGATGAAGAATTGTAGTCGTCTTCTTCTACTTCACGTGGGGAAAGCATATTTGGTCTGAAATCAGCGCTGATCAAGTTTTATATAGAGCTCAGAGATACAACAAAAAATTAGAAGAAATCAACAATAAAGTTAAGAATTTTCCTATTGAATCGATGGTGAATGTAGGTCCGCATTTGCGCGGGAAATGTGATGTAGTGGTCGCGGAGCGCGGTTACACCATGATGATTTTGTCAAATTTCTGCTTGCCGCCGCCAATTTTCGGATCAAATTCCCTTCTTTATTTCAATTTCTCTTTTTTCTACTGCTAAATATCATATTATATGTTTCAGAGCTAAAATGAATTCTCACGAAGAGGTTCAACGCACTTTGAACCCAACATGTACAGGAACATCTGTCATTGCTCTTCAATACAAAACTGGTGTCGTTGTGCTCACCGATCGCGTTGTCTCTTATGGAAAAATGGCACGTTACAAGGTAATATTTTCAGATTTTGGTTTCATCATAAACATCATATTTCAGAATGTCTCTCGTCAGTACAAGGTCAACGAGAACGTTCTCATTGCCTTCGGTGGAGATCATGCTGATTTTCATGGCTTCAAAATGTCATCGAACGCCAAGTACTTCTCTGGAAACGCTTCGATCAAGATATTGGGCCGAAAGCACTCCACGGATACCTCACTAGCCTTCTCTACGGAAGGTGAGAATTTCCTGGCTCACGCTATCGTTAAAATAAGAATTTTCAGACGCTGCAAGATGAACCCAGTTTGGAACACTCTCGTTGTTGCAGGAGTAGAGGAAGAAGAGAAAAACAACAAGGAAACGAGCACCCCATTCATCGGTGTCATCACTCAAAAAGTTAGAAATGAACTTTGTGTGAAACTTCACATAGAAATTTCAGGGATGCGCTTACCAAGTGAAGCATATTGCCACTGGCCTCGGTGCTTACCTTCTCAATCAAGCAGTCGAAGATGAATGGAGAAAGAAAGGAGAAGACCTCTCTCGTGAAGACGCGGAAGCAGTTCTTCGCAAGTCGCTCGAGCTCACTCTCTACCACGACTGCGTCGCAGACAACGAGTTCGAGATTGGACGCGTCGATGCTACTGAAGGCGTCGTTCTGGGAAAAGAGGAGAAGATCATTGGAGACTGGTCAATTGCCGAGACCAATTGTCAGTACGAATAAATGCTAAAGATTCTAGAAAAATGCTGTAAATTTCAAGATCTTTAACTCATTTTAATTTATTTTTTTCCTCCCGCCCCCTTCTCCACGTTTAACCCATCGACCCTATCCTTCCATTTATGTTCGGTGTTAAATTTTTTTTACTGCGTTAAATTGATAAAAAACGCCTTCTTCATCTTTTAAACATTTTCCAATTATTATTTCAACAATTTTGCCAGGCTTTGAAAATGGCGAGCACTAGATTTTCTGGTATTAAAAGTAAGGAACAACAGCTAGAGTTTTCGAATAGGTAGAAACCTCAGATAAACTTCAAAAGTTGGGATTTTCTCCGTCCAAAGACAAACCCCAGAAAACACCTTCAGAACAAGAGAAAAAGCAAGAAAAACCAAAAAAATTGAACTATAAGAAAAAGATGAAGCAGAGATACAATTTGACTGATGAACAGTTTGAAGAAGAAAAGTAAAGTTGAATTCACGACTCTGAAAACAAGCTTTTTTATAGGAGAATTGCTCAAAAACAGTTGAAAAACTGGGAAGAGCATAGGAAAGAGCGAGTCCTGCAAATTTTCCAATCAAATTCTGAATACGTCTCCAAATCGAGCAAATCTGATGTGCAGCATCCGAAAATGGCGAGAGCGAATACTGTATTCAATAGCAGAGGAGAAAAAGTGGACGTGGAATTTGGAAGATTGAGAGAGTTCTATCTGTACACACTGGCACCCTGTAAAGAATTCGTCTCAATTCGTGATCATGTACTAATCTCAATTCCTCATTGAATTCACAGAATTCCATTATTTCAGACTGCACATGACAAAGAATTGACTGGCCTTCGTGCGAAACAGAAAATCATTCTGGAAAATCGAAAAGACAAGCAGGCCACTAAGAATAAGCTGACAGAATACGAGCGGAGTAAAAGGTTCTGAACTTTTAAAACATTTCCAGTTCACCAGTTTTAAAATTTCAGTGTGTACGAAGATCCTATCGCACCCCGGCACGTCAAAGCTGTCAAGCCTGATCAAAAGGAAGCTATTGAAGACACTGCGCCGATTGATAAATTCAGTTAAGAATAACTTCGTAATCTTAACTTCTCAAAAGTTTTCAGTCTCTAACACCACCGATGAGACGCACAAGCAGTTTCCGGAAAGTTGGTACCATCAGTCCATCACTCGTACACAGCTGAAACCAGGCAAAATGAATTACTGGGTGGGAAATGAGGAAGAGTTCGTTTTTAAAAGTGTCACTTTTCAAAATTATAAAAAAATTCAGAGAGGATCTCTCAGTTGATGACGATCCGGAAGGGAAATACACAGTTACAGTTGAGAAAATAATTGAGGTGCTTTCTGGGGGAAAAGTGAAGGACTCGGGAGTGATGGAGCCCGTCGGCAACACAGCGATGACCGATTCCGTCGTTTCTCTACAAACGAGATATAAAAAAACATCTGGTAAAGAATCAACGTTCCTGAATACGATGAAGGGTACGATAGATTTCATGAAAAGTGAGATCGGCAAGGAAAATGCACCGGGTTCGAATACAATAACCCAAGATGAACCAACAGAGTAAGAAACGCGTTATAATATTTTGACCTATTCAGCTCATTGCAGTGCACCGAATCAAATCACTTATGCTTCAACGGTAACTGCAAATGTTTTCAAAGGGAACCGCCTGAAAAGGCAGTATACGGCTAGAAAAGACGTGGAGACATTTGAGGAAAATAGGAAAGACTATACTCGAGAAGCTGGAGAGGAAACTAGTGGGATCTGATCTTTTTTCTCGAATTGTTCTTTTTTCAAATGCATCAGTATAGAATAAATGATTTTCCGAACAAGTTTAATCTAAAAACGACAAAAGTGTATATTTGCAAAGAGTGAAGATTTTTTTAGAGTTTATGCCTCGAGAGCAGCGAGTCTCTTCTGTTCGGCGACTTTGGCCTTGGTGTCCTTGGAAACGTAATCAGATGGGACCAGGTATCCGTAAACGTAGCGACGACCAACCATCTCTCCGACGAAGAACCAGAAAACGACTTCAAGAGCAACGGCAGTGTAGACGAGTCCTTCCTGTAAATACAACACAGAAATTCGAAACAAATATGTTTAACCTACCTTGACAGTGAGTTGGCTGTATTGCTTGGATTGGATGAACTTCTGAACCTTTGCCCAATCGGCTTTGATGGCAGGCAAATCAGCAGTTCTTGGTGGTGCCAACTCGTGCTTTCCGACAGCCTTCAAGATCGCGAGACGACGTGGGAACTGCTGAGCTTGGTGCCGGTAAAGGGCCCCAGTAGTGTTGGCGATCTTTTCGAAAAAGCTCAGCTTGTGAGTTGCCATCCCTATAAAAATCACATTGAATCTTTAAACTTAAAATTGTTGTTAATCGAAAAAGAAAACAAGCATTGCACAGGAGAAAAGCGCATGAAAAATCGAGCAGCCCGTCGGGCAAATTTGAAACGCTACAGTATCCTCTATCATCGTGACGGGACCCAATCGAATTTATTATCAAAAGTCCTTTAAAAATTATCTTTAAAAATCAATAAAAAATCAGATTGCAATCGGTAAATCGGCAGAAAAGCAAAACCGAAACGAACAAATCGGTAAGAACAATATCGGAGCCAAATTTTTCTCCAAAATTGCAATAACTTGGGAATAATTAACATAACTTTATCGCTCCTACCGATTTTTCGCTTACGGTTTCTTTCCATTTTGAATTTTACCAATTGGTACATTCTCACTTTTGTGACTAGTCAACCCTTAAAAAGTTTCCGGTCAAAAAGCCGTGCAAGTAGTGTAGTTACGTTGTGTAGTGTTTGCGGCCTGTTCGGAGACTCAGGCAAAATGACACTCCACCGATTGTTGTTTTAACATTAAAATAAATTGATAACTACTTCGTAAAAATATAAAAACCACAGCTGACCATAAATATTTGAAATTTCAGATGATTAATCTCCGACGATTAGTGCACACTTCCAGTCAGCTAGACCGTGGAAGGACAGCTTTCTACAATATCCACCAAAAAGTAAATACTTTTTGACCAGTAGAAAGTCCGTAATGAACATTTTTCAGGTAACAGATCCAGCAAAACAAGATCCTGATTTCTTCGAGAAAAAGGCCAGGGAACTACCTCTCGGTAATCGATTTTTCAAACACCGATTTTGAACTAGAACTTTTTGCAGATCAAAACTATATCGATGCCCTCTCAAAGTTATATTATGAGAAAATTGGAAGCGAACGCGATTTGGGCCTGAAAGCTGCCGACAATTTGGTTTGTAGTTTTCGTACGGCATCACTAAACGAGTTGAAAATTGTAGATTCTCGAAAAAACTGAATTTGGATTGCCGCGAATCGAAAAATCGAAAATCCGTGCAAAATATGAAGATTTGGATGTTCTCTCAAGTGCTCCAGACTCTGTGAAAAAGATTTTCAGCGTTGAGATGGCAACCAGAAAGGAACTATCTCAAGAATGGAAAAACAGTCTCATCAATTCTGTTCGTCAGCATTCTTTAGATGGAAACAGTCTCGAGATGAAAAGTAAGGTTCATTGTTAATTTGAGATAAGATTTATATTTTTTATATTTTTCAGTTGCCTGGCTAACTGCTCTCATCCGACATTGGTCTCTTCTTGTGAACGATATTGGACAAGAGACAAAAAAGGTACATGATAAGAATGAAGTATCATTTTAAATCTTTTTTTCAGAAGCCTACTTGGTTGACTCATCGAATTTGGCTGGTGATCAATGAACGCAGAAAATCGCTCCGAATTCTTCGAGAACGCAACGAAACGGCATTTGAAAAAACGATCGCTGCTCTCAAAATTTCTTATCACGTTCCAAAACAACCAGCTCATGTCAAGACCAGAAAGGTATGTCGAACTATCATCACTGAATTGTCTTCTATTCGAAATTTCAGGCTTGGGCTGAAGCTCAGCTGAAGTTACGAGTAGAGAACGAGAAAGAGAAGCGTTTGGAGCAGTTGCACGAGGAGTACGACAAGCAAGTTGAAGAACATAAAAGAGAAACACAAGAAAAGAAACGGACATTGAATAACGAGTTGAATAAGGTAAGGATTTATTTAAAGGTGTACGTTTATTTCACCCTTTGCTGGAAAAAAGAATGAAAATCTGAGGATTTTCATAATATGGAGATAAAACCCAATTCTTTGATTAGGACATTATTAAAGTTTTGGCAAATATTCCTCTTTTCAAATTCCACCTAACTTCGAACTTAGCCTCCATTTGAAGAATATTACATTTTGACTCATAATGAGCAGAAATATAGAATTATCATTCAAAACATAAACTAAATATTTTTTATACAGCTGGCTGAAGAAATGCATCGAATCGACGTCATCGAAGGAAAATCATTCAAAACGGCGGGAAAATACGAACCCTCATTGATTTCTTCGTTGACGGAGTCTGTCGTTCACTCGAACCTCTTCTACCATCCTCCACCAACTATGACGGAAAAATAAAATCTATTGATTTCTATTGACCACCATTTAGGTTTATTTCCTTTTGTTGTTATCTAGCTTGTGTTTCTCCTTGTGTTTTTCAAATAAAATATAGATTTTTTTCATTTTTTGCTAGTTTCATCTATATAAACAGTCGGAAGTTTACTGAAAAATACTTGATTCAACCACCTGAAAATTTTTCAATTCATATGAATTTCAGATGTCTCGTCATCGTAATATACGAAACATTAACCTTGAGGATGGTAAGACATTTCAACTTTGCAGCTCTAAAAAAATTATGAACTTTTCAGAAATGGATGATGACTATGACGACTACGATAATTATGAAGACGAAGAGGAGTCTGAAAGTAATCTTTCTTATTTTTATATCAACAACCTACTTTAGTTAACACTTCAGGCTTATACACATACGACCGTAACTCGTTGTCAGCCAACTACTATACCTACCTGACTGACAGTGGTCGAAATTCACCAGCTCCTCCAGCACCTCCGTCTTCGAATGCTTCCTCATCATACTATCCCCCGGTATCCACAGCAGCACCAACAGCTGGTCCTGCTTCTGCTGTGCCGTCTTCAATTGTTCGCAACTTGACCGCTCCTTCACTTCAACAACAAAAGCCGTCTAAACATCCTAATAGTCGTCCAAGCACTCCACAAGCTGGTAGCAATTTAAACACTCCAAAAAGAACACAACAAGTGAAAAATGTGAGGAAAATTCAGCATTTTGAAATATCTAGATCATTATTTTTCAGTTGCAAACAGAGGCAGCTAGTCCCAGCGGGAGCCGTGTGTCTTCTGAAGTCGACTTGAGCACATTCCGACGAAACCAGCTTCAAAATATCGCCAAAGCTACATCAGTTCCCCGAAAAGCAGTCAAACCGAGAGCTGTTGAGAAAGATTTGATTAACCTGATTGTTGTTGGACATGTAGATGCTGGAAAGAGCACACTGATGGGACACTTACTGCATGATGTTTGTTTTTTTCTATTATCGGAAGAAAATAAATCACAATTTTTTCAGTTGGAAGTTGTTGATACTCGCACAATAGACAAGTTCAGACATGAAGCGGCTAGGAACGGTAAAGCATCTTTTGCATATGCATGGGTGTTGGATGAAACTGAAGAAGAGCGGTAATTCACAAATTCCATATCAGTTTGTCAGTGATTACATATTCCAGCGAGCGTGGTGTAACTATGGATATCGGAAGAACGAGTTTCGAAACTACAAATCATCGAATTGTGCTTCTTGATGCTCCAGGACACAAAGATTTCATTTCCAACATGATTACTGGAACATCACAAGCAGATGCAGCTATTCTTGTAATTAACGCAACTACTGGGGAGTTCGAAACGGGTTTCGAAAACGGTGGTCAGACGAAGGAGCACGCTTTGCTGCTCAGAAGTTTAGGTGTCACACAACTCGTCGTAGCGGTTAACAAACTAGACACTGTCGACTGGTCCATGGATCGATTTGAAGAAATTCGCAACAACCTTACTGTCTTTCTAACGCGTCAAGCAGGGTTTTCCAAACCGAAATTCGTTCCGGTATCAGGATTCACAGGAGAAAATTTAGTGAAAAGAATGGATCTGAGCTGGTATGATGGACCATGTTTGGTTGAACTCATTGGTAGGTTTTGCAAAAAAATTAGATGGAACTCGAACAATCACGTTCCTTGCAGATAGTTTCAAAGCTCAAGAACCACAATCTGACGGTCCGTTGAGAATCGGAATAAGTGATGTGCTCAAGGTACATGATTTCTTTTTCCGTGAAAGTTTCAATAATTTGTTCTAGGTTGCTTCTAACCAGCTTGTGGTAAGCGGAAAAATCGAATCTGGAGAAGTTGAAAAGGATGACAAGGTCTACATTATGCCTAGTGTCACACCTGCCACAGTGAAAGGTAAAATTAGAGCCAAATCCTACTAACGCGTATATTGATTCTACAGAGTGTGCAAATAATGATGGCTGGAAGCATTGTTTTGCAGGAGATTTCATTTTACTGACTCTTCAAGGAACATTCGAACCAGAATCGGTTCAAGCCGGTTCGGTTATTGTTCGATCCGACCGGATACTCTTATCCCGGCGAAAAAGTTTGAAGTGCGGTTAGTAGTCTTTGAAATCGCCACTCCAATCATCAAAGGAGCGAAATCCGAGTTGTATTCACATTCCCTATGTATGCCATGCACTTTCACAAAGCTCATTTATACAATCAACAAGTCTAATGGGGAAGTTTTGAAACAAAGACCAAGGTATTGAAAAAATCACATTTCGAAATGTTCAAAACTGTTTTTAGGTTCCTTGCGAAAGGGTCGACTGCTGTTGTAGAGATTGAAACTGAGCATGACGTCGCCATCGAAGCTTTCACAAGTTGTCGTGCATTTGGCAGAGCTACATTCCGTTCAGGAGGAAACACGATAGCAGCGGGAATCGTAGAAAAAGTTATTACCCCACAATAGTTTATTCCTTTTTTTGGTTCATTGCCCATTGCCCTTACCTCTATCAAAATGTGTGATTTTTTCTGCCAAGATGTTTCTTATCTTTGAATGTTAATTTCTTATTGTTCTTTTCAGATTTCCGATTTCCTAGTTAGATTTCTAAAGAATTTTTTGTGTTATTGTTATGGTAGTCTTCCAAAATAAACATTATATTATGTTACAAAATCATTCATTAAACTTTGTAAAATCATCATAAACACGGCTAAATCGATAAAATGAAAGAGATTTATTTGTGGCTCGGAACTGGAATCTTGCAGACATCAATTCTTTCCGAAAGCTCCGATGCGCCAGAAATAGACCACGACTCGTCTGTCTTTTGATTTGAGAAACGAATTCTGAAAATGAGCTCGTCCATAGCACACATATTTTAAAACCAACTTCATGTTTCCATTGGAATTCGTGGCAATGATCAGTTTGATTGGCTGCTGGACGTTATTCAATGGAACATTTCGAGACGCAGACTGATTGGACACCTGCCTGAAAGAAAAAATCACTTTGTAATTGGAAACTGAAAGGGGGACTGCTGAAACATACGATTTTGTAGGGTACGTAACGGGATTAGCTGGATAAACACGACCAGAAGATGAAGAATGATATGATGGGCGATCTGCCAATGCGGGAATACGACTCTTGTAGTTAGCACGGTCGGACCTGCAAATTGATATGTTCAACAACATTCAGTTTGGTATTTGGTTACAGACCCTTGGAAAGACGCGTTCTTAATAAATGAAGAATTTTCAGTGGATGTGTCGCTTTTGTACGCATTCGGAGCTGGTACTCTGATCATTTTTAAAAAGATTATTGACATTTCTTATAAAACCCACTTTGTTTCCTTAGGCTTCATCGCCGATCGCCAATCTCCTTCAGCCCATCCTCCATATCTTTCCTTATTTTTCTCTTCATAAGTAATCGACTTGCGTCTGTGCCCATAATGTATCTCACTAAAGTAGTTGACATTTTTCGCTTTCAAAGAGATATTCTTCGATGTGACAGTTTCCTGTGACGAACTTGTCGTTATTGACAATTCAGAGACCCTGGAAACACACGAAGTGAAAGAGACATCCGACAAGCTCTCCGTTTCATCAGATGTTTCCGATACAGGGGTAGAAGAACGCAAAACGACTTCTTCTTTGTCAAAGAAGGAATCCGTAGTGAGAAGAGATTCAGTGGAGCTGGACACAATACGTCTTCGCTTCCCAGCGCACAAATCTTCCGAATTATTGGTGCAGTTGAGAGATTTGATCGATGGAGATGGGGAAAGTCTGTAAGAAAAATTATACCAGGAAAACTTTGGATCGAGAAAACCCTTGGGAAAACGTATCGATGTCCGAGCTGAAGTTCTTTTCAGCACTGTCAAGAGTAATTCTGAAAATTCGCAGTAATTATTAATTCAACATCAACATTTTTTACTTCAACTCTCCATATTTGTCTGTTAAAATGGAGAAGCTCACACACGACTCGGTCATTTTTCGATATCAAATTACCTGAAAAATTGTGGTTTATGGGGTTATTCATGTAGCGAAAGTCTGCACTGAAATTCAATGCAGGAGTGTCGCGAAATGCATTTCAAAGCATTTCGGTGCCACCGAAATGTATTGAAATGCGTTTTGAAATACACACTTTCGCTATATGAATAACCCCATTACAGATGATATGTTAACTTTATAGCTTTTATCCCAATTATGTCCTCCAAATCGCCGAAAAATTGAAAAGCCCGAGAAATCGAAAAGCGCAAGAAATAATAGAGAGAAAAAGGGGCGGGGCCTAGCAAACTGGTGCGGGGCGCATCTTGAAAATAGTGTCCAAAACTGTTTTTCCAATGAGGTTATTCATCAAAATATTAAAAAATGCAGAGAAATGCAAAACATTTCGCGGAAACCGAAGATACAGTTTAAAGGCGCATCGTCGGTACAGAAGCAAACAAGCAAAAAAATTTTTTGACTCTTCAATACCGTACCTCACAATTCGAACATTTTGATCCGTTTTTGGATGTTTTTCTAAATATTTCATAAGGAAGTTCGGAAAAAATATTAATGAGAATCAGACAAAAATTGACAAGAAACAGCAAAAGTTTAAGAGAGATATGCAATAATCAAATAATTTTGAGATACGATATTGAAGGCACATGCACTTATTGAAAAAAAAATGTCGAATTTTGGTTACTGGATCGACGATACATCTTTAGAAAGAAACATGCTGAATCTTCTTGATGAATCGAGCTTTCTGACCTGCTGTCAGCTGCCATTGATAGAATGTGCAAAATTATGATAATAGGAAATATTATTTCTTTTTCAGATTTCCCGTTTGTTTTGTATAAATAAAATAAATGTATTGCAGACTCAAACAAAGTTGATTCAAGAAGCCCAGCCTGTAAAAAATTAATCAAATTCTAAAGGTTCGTAGTGTCAAAAAAGGGAAATTGATAAGCGTAAAGCCTGTAATAGAACTACATCTGTAGAAGACCCTCATTTTTGATATTCCCTATTTCGTCTTTTTGTTCGAACTCGAAGATCTTCGATGTGTTTCTTATTTGAACTGCTGATGTTGATAGTCAATTTTTCACAATATAAATCAGTTTTTAAATCTCAATGTTGCTTCTGTCATACAAGAATCATTGTGATTCTATTACAGGGACCCCCCCCCTCTCAGAGACTTTTCTCAGAGACTTTTTAGCGTCGAGTGGCGCCTTCCCGGCGCCTTCATGGCTGTTAGCCGACGAATCCGGCTGATAGCCCGTGTTTTTGGATAATAGCGATCGTTTCTCGATGCAGCGAATAGCGCTGATAGCGGTGAGAAACGGCTAATAGCGGAGCGAAACGACTAATAGCGGTATATATTTGAATGTAGATTTAGGTAACCCATTAAAGGGGGGGGGCCGTCCGCTAATTCCAAAATTTTTGAGATTTTTATATCAATCGATACAGAATTTTGGGTCGGGAAGAAAACTCGCTTGGAGAATAGTTCGAAAATCACTCATTCTTAAGATATATGTCAAAAAACGCTCCCTGATCTGCACCCTCTACGTTGATTTTTTGATCAATTTTCAATTTTCGAGTTTTTAAAAAAAATTTTTTAATTCACGTTACGCAATAAACCTTTAAATCAATCAATATTAGGTCACGCCCCCTACCTCTGTCCAAGTTGAAAAAAATTCCACGTATTGAAAAAAAACAGTTCATTCGGAAATCCCACTTTTTGAATTAGTTTGATAATTTTCACTAGCACTTTTTGACTGCCCTGAAGCTCCCTACGTAAGCTGTTTATTGTTTCATTTGCTTTTTTCTTTCGATTGGTCGGATGCGAAAAAAGTTATAAAAGACCCTCAGGGTCGCCATGTTTGGTGGTTCATGGCTAGGTGAAATAATTTTCACTGAACGTCCCCCTTTTGCAAAAGAGCCAATCAAAGAAAAAAGAAACAAATGAATTAGACAATAAATAGCGATCGTATAGCTTTTTAGCAGTGAAAAAGAACTATTGAAAATTAGAAAACTGTCTCCTCGGAGACCGGGGTTTTGTGTTGGTGTTTCCCCCAGTGAAAACCCATTTTCCCTTTCATGTACTGAGCCTCTACGTGGCGAAAGGGATCAACAGACGAAAGTCTGGCTAATCAGTAAACTTTTGAAACTTGTAATTTTTCATAATTTTTGTTGATATGTTCAGGAATATCTATATTATTTTTTTTCAATAAATCCTTTTTTACATCTTTCATTTCATTTTTCTTGTTTGCAAGCCCGTTTCCTAGAAGGAAGAATCCAAATTGGGCATCTCTATCTTCGCTGGAGGTCGTGATCTACTGATTTTTGGAGTGGACGTATAAACTTGCAACGGCTGCAAGAGGCATATTTTCAGACTTTTCCAGATAACTCGACTAGTTTTCAAGGTTTCATTACAAACATTGCCCACTAGATGTAATTTGTTGTCAATCCGATTTTCAAAAAATTAGGCAGATACCTCAAACAGCTCTTAAGTTATGGCCCTAAACATGGGTGGACGTAAAAACCTGCAACGCACTGTATTCTGATCGGAAAGAAGGCAAATCCAGTAAAGATGGTTTTCGATATTGAGAGCCCGAAATTTGACCTACGAGGCTCCAACATCAAGTGAGGTGGCGTCAAGTGAGTTTGTCAGAATCTCAGAGACAGAGCCCAGCTTCCATTCAATGTCCTATCCTATTATAATATTTTCCCTCATTGAGATTTTGATGGTCCAACGATTTCAAACGAGAAAAAAGTAGCCGAAAAATAAATCATGAAGGACAGTCATGCTTCGCTGAATGCATCAACCCTTAACAAAATATGGTCAACCTTTCTAATTTGCTATTTGAAAAATCTGTGATGTTACAGTAAATCAAATCATTAATGATTGCCGGGATCCACTGCATAACAACGAGCGCCCCGGATAAAAAACTTCATTCTCTGTGGTTCAGGATTTCCAGAAGTTTTTCTTTCGAAAATTATAAACATAAAAAAAATGAGTCTAGAATTTGCTCGAAACATTTGTAATTTTAAAATGGCGAGCAATTCAGAAATCAGAAATTTTGAGTTTTGGAAAAATCCAAAATAAATTATATTTTCAATTTTAAGATCTTGACGGTTTTGCAATTTGGAGAATCGAAAAACCTGAAAAGTTTTAAAATCTATAATAGAATTAGAAAATTCGGAAATTCAGAAATTCAGGAATGTAGAAATTTGGAAATTCAGTAATTAAAAACAACTAAAAATGTCATATTCTAAAGTTTCTTAAAATTAAAAAAAACTAATTTCAGGCAGTTTCATAATTTATCTGATCTGAAAAAAAAGTTTTTTGAAATTTTCAGAGTATCGAGTTTCGAGTTTTCTTGGATTTTTTTTTTTTGGAAATTTTGAGTAATTCTAGAAATTTCTGAAAAATCTGGAACATTTTAGAAAATTTAGATTTTTCGAAAAAAAAATCAAAAAGTCAAACATTTCGAATTATTTTTTCTTGAAACTATCAGGACACTTCGAGCTTTTATTATATTTTTTTTCTAAAAACTAATTCAAAAACTGAGAAGTCAAAAAATTCTCTCGAAAATTGAATAATTCTAGAAATTTCTGAATTTAACTGAAATTCGAAAATTCTGAAGTTCAGAAGTTCGTAAAATCGGAAATAGCTATATCTAGAAACTTAAAAATTCAAAAATCCCGAACTTTCAAAATTGAAAGTTAGTAAATTAGAAATTCAGAAAATTGAGAAATTCGCAAATTCGAAAGTTTCAAAATTGTAAGATCCAGAATTTTCAAAATTCAATAACTTAGAAATTTAAAAATTCAGAAAAATACAAAAACAGAAAATTTGGAATCCAGAAACTTAAAAAATCGGAAAATTTGAAAATCAGAAATTCGGAAACTTGAAAAAATTGAGAAATCCAGAATTTTCGATATTCAGAAAATCGAAAATTGAGAAATCCAGAAACTTGAAAATTAAATAACCCAGAAATTTCAAAATCCAGAAACATACAAAATCAGAAAATTAGAAATCCAAAAACTTAAAAAATCAGGAAATTTGATCCAGAAATTCGGAATTCCGGAAAGTTGATGATTGAGAAGTCCAGAAACTTGGAAACTCAGAACTCTAAAATTTACGAATTCTGAAATTTCAGTATTTTAAGAATTCAGAAATTCAAAGTTTCTGAAATTCTATAATTCTAAAACTCTAAAACTCAAAAAATAATAGGTTCGGAAATGGAGAAGTTCTAAAATTCGGAAGTTGGAAAATCCTCGAGTTCCAAAATTTTGAAATTCTAAAAATCTGAAATTTTAGAACTTTTTCCAGCCATCGCTTTTCGGACACCTTCTTGGTTTAATATGGCTGATGAATGGATCAGGAAGGGTTTCCCAACTACCTGAAGTAAACCAAATAAATGGATTTCTGTTATCCTATTTTTAGTGGTTAATTGTTCCTTCCAATGTTTTTTTAATAAAAATATGTTATTAGTCTCTGGTGTCAATTAAATCACTAAAGTCCCCATTTTCTTTCCAGCAGTAAATCGAATTTTCTTTTTCTGAACCTTGTTTCATCACGCCTATTTTCGGATTAAAAAAAGTGACACCTGAAAATCTCGGAGACGGCGCTCGTGTCGATTTACGGGGGGCGGAGCGAAAACGGATACTGTAGATAAAAAATTTATTTATGTGAATTTAGTGGGATTTTCTATGATCGCTAGCATCTCTAGAATTTATTTTTCAGCAAAAAACTAAACTCAAACGCGAAAGTAGCTCGAACGAGCCGAAATTCTGAAATATTACGTTTTTGCCGCACTTTTTCGTAGATCAAAAAAAGCAAAAGTTTTCAAATTCTCAGGTGTCACTTTTTTTATTTCGACAATAAATGATCCTTTAATTGAACTGAACACAATTCTGAATGAGTTTATTCATTCAGTCCCAGAGAAAATGTTAAATCATAATGATAACCAATCATAATGAAGGCGAGTTTCAAGGGACCAAAAAGGAGCGTAAAATAGGAAATAACCGAAAATTAATGATGTTTGAAGAGAGATGTGGTGGGAACAAAAAAGTGTAGCATAGAGATGATTGGGAACGGTGTTAAATAAATTGTGGCTGGTAAAATCACGGGAAGAGAATTGTTGAGGTTCTTGATGAAAAAGAAAAATAAATTAATTGCTTTGGTGGTGAAAAGCCACTCTAAAAACTATGAAACAGATGATGATGATGATGATTGGGATGAGGGAAAATGTCTTGAGATTGGTAAAAGAAATTGGAACACCTCCAAAATTTCAAGAAGCGGATAATTTGTATAAACAAGCTTGCATTCGCTGATATATAGTACACGTATTTCACTGAAAACAAGAAACTACCCGCATATTCACACAGAAATAAAATTGAGATAGAGTGGAGCGAAACATGTAAAATGAAGGGGCACCCCTACTGGTGTCAGCTTGGCAGCGCTATCCTTTTTCGAATAGAAAAAAGAAATGAAGATCACAAAAGTGAGTAAAAGATCTGAATGGGGAGAACAGGAGCGGTGGGACTATTGGAAGGGGAAAATGATGAAAAAAATATACTAGAAGGGAAGAAAATTAGGCAACTGCAGTCGTCATTGCACCATCGTTTTGAGCTTCGACCAATGTTCCGTTTGTTGATACCGATGATTTCGATTTGTCGAATCCATTTGATAAGCATGTTCGTTTTGCTGATGGTGGCGAACGAGACTGCTAAAATAAGAAAATATTTTCCTGAATAGTGAAAAGTAAACGCTCACCTCGTCAATGAGAGCTGCAGCAGACCTTTTTTGTGACAGTCGAAGAGAATCAGACTCATAGCCATCACATGATTCGCCCTCATCTGTATCTTTTTTCAAATCTTCCTCTTCGTTTTTATGATTATTTTCATAAGGCGATACGATATCTTCTGAAGACGACGGCCTATTTGTTTCACATTCCACCGTCCCATTCCCCTGAATACTATCCGACGGTGTTGTGGATGCCTCCAGCGCATTTTCCGTCTTCGGAGAGTCCGTCTTTTCTACATTGCTCAGTTTGTCGATTTCCACAGTGGAAGTAGTTGCCTCCTTCTCTTCCATCAGGTTCGGTTGATATCCTGGAAATAACTTGATAAGGGCATGAGAACCGAAGCTCGAGTAATAAACCATACCTTCTGAGTAAGTGATCTTCAATGGCTCAGGCACATCTTCTCCAAATTCTTTAACGTACTCCTGAATTTCGTAGAGTGTGTCAGCAACCATGCCAGCAACACGCGAGTCCATCTGAAAAATCAACTTGTGTTACTTTTGAGTTTGTAATTCAAAAACTTACTAGCTGGCTCATGGTAAACTGCAGAAGACGTGTTTGGTGTTTGAGGTATATCTTATAAGATTTTGGAACTTTAACTAGCAATCGGAGCATTGAAGCAGCTCGACGAAGCATTCCAACGGAAGTACCCATGAGCTCTGGATTATCACGAAGAGCAGCCATTCCGTGAGCCTGCATAACTTGGTGCATGTTCTGATCAGCCGAATCAATGAAGAGGATAAGGTGGGCAATCGTATTTGTCTCCATTGCACATATATAGCAAACTGCTTCGGATGCAATACACAGAGCATTGAGAATGACAATAGCAAATTCTCTGAAAAAATTTAAGTTGTTCATCTTGCATTTAATCACTGTTTGCAGAAATCTTACCGGTAATGAGTCTCCTCATTCATCGTGAGCAATCTGGACAAAATATGGACGAACTGCTCGACTCTCGACCAAGAACCTGTTGATAGGAACATGTCAACGTTTCGTTCGATTACAACCATCTTGCACATGATTTCCAAAGAGTAATCTCGCGGTGATACTGGAGCTAGTGCAGATGAATCGGTGGCTTCTGGCACACGAGAAACAGCCCATCTCAGCAGTCCATCGTAAATTGGATAAGCGATTGGATCAGGCAGTTCGTACAAGTTTAGCGAAACACTCATATGAGTGAGCATCACAAATGCATCATCTCTCAATTGATTCGCCGTTTCAATCATCTGAGCTCTTGTCGCATCGACATCATCCAATACAGACTTTTCTTTCGCACGTTTCTCGTCTTCCGTAAGAGTCTTCGGTTCGTTTTTCAGCTCATCCTCATCCAAAACAATTTTTGGTCGCTTTGACACAATCTTACGTTCGTTCACATTCAGTCTCATAAATCTTCCTATGATGAACAGGAGAGCCTCGTTCCTAGCCATCAACGCATCACTTCCTGGGACGAAGGAGAAACCTCGAAGAATGTTGGAAAGTGCAAGAGCTCGGTGAGCCAGATCCTCCATAGCTTTACTCTTCGGAGACAGTGCTATTGGACGAGGCAGAGCTAGCTCCACTTCATGCTTGCAATCTGAGAGCTCTTCTGGTTTGGCACCTCGCATCAAAAGAACCTCGTTTCCGTTTTCTAGTACTTCTTCCTTGATTATCTTGTCTTCCAAGTTCGCGTCTTTTTCTGTCTCATCGTCACCAAGGTACTTTGAGAACACAGGTCTTGGACGTGTCTTTTCGTGCAGCAATTTATCTCGTAGTCGTGTTGCTATTCGTTCAGCGAGTCCTCCGCCTAATCCCATAGAATTTCTTTCAGCCACATATTTCGAAGTGATAGATTCATCTAAGAACATTGCAGCATCCTTGTCGGTGTGTTCCCTGGTCACTCTTTTTTGTAGCGATACTGGAATCGTTTCATCTCGAAAATGGACCTGAAGCCCGTTTCGTGACATCTAAAAAAGAGAAATAACAATAAATTTTTAGCTTTTGATATTTGAACACTTACCATAGTGAATTTTGCCGTCTTATCGCTGCCCTTACGAGGAACGACAGGCATTTTGTCAACCATTGTCTTCATTCCTCCGTTCTGCTCCGTTTTTATCAATCCATCAAGAATCTCCTTAGAATCGTCTAATATGATTGGTTTCCCTGGCTCTGTTAGATGGAATTCCGTTGGGAACAGAATGGACAGTGTCGCATATAAATGTTCCACTATAACATTTACCAATCCAGGCATTTGCTGAAGAGACGGTTGGGGATTCGTGTCATCGTACAGGAGCACGTTCAACGCGTTAATAGCCCAAATGGCTTCCACTTCCAAGCCCGATCGTAGAGACATGATCAGACGTCGTGGTGTTGCGTTTATCAATTCTCTTGCATAAACTTTCCTTCGTTTCAATTGCACTTGTGCAGTGGCCGTTGCTTCTATACACCCGGGTGGGAATTGATGTTGATGCTGATGACTCATTGTGTGCTGAGATGGTTGGGAAGATGATGATGGGAATTGGGCGGGTCCTGGTGTTGCTAATGTATTTGCAAGATAGCTGCCAGTAGAGGATGTTGGTTGGCTAGATGTAGACGGAGGAACGACAGGCATTGTAGATGTTAGCGGTTGTGGAGTTGGAGCTGTGGCTCGTGACGGAGGGACTGCTGAAAAATAGGTTGGTTTAAAATACAAACAGCAGTATTTCGCTAATTGTAGTTAATTGTTTCAAATTCGTTTTCAATCACTAGGTTTATAAGATTTGATAAAGGAAAGATGCTAAAACGTACGAGTTCCATATCTGGCTTGTTTCCCGCTGCTTGCAGATGTTCCAGAAGGTGAAGGTGCACCTTGAACCGGTGGAGGTGGGAGCCTATTCTGTTGAGCGCCTGGTGGAACCGGTCCTGAAGGGTACGGATATGGCGGTCTCTGTGATCCCGATGGTCCTTGCTGTTGCTGTTGTTGTTGATGGTATCGTTGCTGTTGCTGTTGTTGCCAAGCGAGATACTGCGCATGTTGAGGATGCTGAGGATGTTGAGGATGGTACCCAGTCTGCGGTGGCGGTGCTCCTGGATATCCATACGGAGCCCCTGGTGGCGGAGCGAATCCTGCCGGAGGTCTCATAGAACCTGGTGGCAAATATCCCGGATATCCTGGATAACCTCCCGCATGTTGTGGCGGTCCTGGCGGTCCTGGTGGTACTTGAGATTGCGAATGTTGTGGAGGTTGGCCTGGAGTTGGTGGCGCAGCACTTGTAGACGGAGTTGTCTCTCCTGGGGTACTTGTTCCAGGTTCTCCCGGTGTAGATGTCTCACTGCTTACTGCGGGCTGTGGTTCCACTCCCGGCAAAGAAGCGCCATCTGGAGTTCCACTCGTTCCGGGACCTACACTTGGGGCACGACTTCCTGATTGACTGCCACCAGTTGTTGGAGCTGATTCCACTTGCAAAGTAGCGGAAGTTGCACCGGCCGGTGTTGGAGGCTTGTGGGAAGCGGATGGTGTCGCTGGTTGTGTATTGGAGCCACTGGCTGGAGCTACTTGCGAGGATGGAGCCGTTTGTGGTGCTGGAGTTGTTGACGTTGCAGGTGTAGAGGATTGTTGGGATTGAGAGGCTTGCGCTTGAGCAGCTTGGGCAGCTGCTTGCTGCTGCGAATGGTGATGAGCAGCGGCAGCCTGTTGATGAGCGTACCACTGTCTCTGTTGTTCATCCATTTCCTGCATATGCTGAGGCATCGGTGCTCTCATAGCCTGTGCTCCTGGCGGTGGTCCTCCAGGTGTTCCTGCCAGCCTTTGGTGTCCCGGATACTGTCCAGGTGAGAACGCGTTCATCTGTGGATATCCAGGATGTCCGGGATGGGGTGGTACCATTCCATGCTGCTGATAATACATATAGTTTGGATCCATACCAGGATGGCCAGAATATTGTGGCGGGCCAGACTGAGGACCTCCTGGTGCTCCGTTTCCTGAAATAATAGAATTAATAAATGCAATTTTCAATATTTGGTGATGTTTACTGAAAATATTATCTACCTATTGGAGGATACCCTGGAGGAAAGAAACCACGACTCCGATAAAACTGTTCACTACGAGACATATGTTGTTGTGATGGAAGTGTTGCTGGGTAACCGCTCGGGTATCCGTGCATTGGATAATTTGAAGGAGATCTTTGAGGCGTAGCCCCCGGAGACGGCTGTCCTGATGAGCCTTGTGGAACTTGCAGATACCCGTTTTGATGAGGTGGTAGAGGGGCATTGGAAGAATGCTGTGGAAGTGGAAACCAAGTTGTAGACGCATGTGCCATCCTTACTATATCTGGGTGGTGATGGAGCTGTGTAGGTGGAGGTACAATATCGAGTTGAGACTGAATATGTGCCGGTAATTGATTAGAGGAGGTGAGAGAAGTGGACGGGGTGGTGGATCGCGTTGATGATTTNGACGATNGTCCACCACCTCCTCCGCCTCGTTTGCCCCTCGTCGACACTTTGAGAAGCACGGCAGTGAGCACACGGCGCTGTTAGTCTATGATAAAACCTAATTATTGAGAGAAATACGCATATTATGATGAGAAAGTGAGATGAGAAAGTCTGTATTTAGGAAAACAATTTTTTGGAGTGTTCGAAATATTACAAAGCTGAAAACTGTAACTTAATTCTTTAAAAAAGGCAGGATCAGAAAGAAAGTATGGGTTTTAGATACTTTGAAAGAGATACGTTGAGATGGGAATGGGACAATCAGACAGTATAACAATTACAAAATTCCTGGATCTGTTCTAGTTGAAGAAGAGATTTTCAAAACCTGGCGCGAACATAACCCAAAAGGCAGTTATTGTAGTTAGAACATTTTAAAAGGGCGCTTGCACCCTCAAAAAGAACATAGAGAAGACCATAAAAGTAGGAGGAGGAGGAATTATTGTTACAGAAAGCCGGCACCAGGAAAGAGACACAAAGTAACGCGAATGATGGAATAAGAGAGATTCTAGACGAGCAGACACATCAAAACATCGACGAAAGCGTCTAAGAAATCAGAAACAGGACAGAAACAAGAGAGACGAAAAGAGAGGGGCGTGGCTTGCAAAAAAAAACCGACATCACCTCGAGAAGAAGAAGAAGAGAACTGACAAGCGTTGTCGTGCAGAGTGTCGCAACTTGTATCTTGAGACAAAAATGGGTGACTTAGACTACGTAAGTTGGGAATGGGGAGAGAGAAGAAAAGACGAACATAAGAGTGATAAGTGAGATACAACAACAATTTAGATCGCGAGAAATCACTTTTTTTTGTTTTTGAAGGAGGCTCGTTATTATTTCTAGTCGAGGGAAAACGCGCATATTGAGATCAAACGTGAGTTGAAACGAGTTATAATGTTACAAACTTCTAAAAGTTCGTGTATACTTATTTTAAATCTTTACTCAAGATGTACGTTAAAAATTATAACATCGAGACAATAAAGATGGCTGAAATTTGAAGTGGTATATTCCCTAAAAAACAGAAATTCTAGGCAAAATACTGCTTTTGCCATAATTTCCGTTATCTCGGAAAATACACCATTTTTCGATTTTCAGCTAACCTTGAGCGCCTTTTTCTAAAAATTTCAGAACAATCATCTTTCGAATTTTAAAAATTTCTAGAGAAAATGTCAAATGAGCATACAATAACTCAAAATTTAGAAAAAACCAGCTAAAATCTGGAAAAAGGAAACGTTTTCAAGAGCCACGACAGACTGTAGTTCAAAACAAAAAAGTGTGCATTTTGTCGTAGAATATGGTGCAAAATGTTTTCTGAGCTCAGAGCTCGCTATGAAATTTGATGAAAAACTCTTAATTTTGTGCTTTCCGATTCAAAATTGATAATTAATCTGTTGGTGGACTTTGGCAGCCGAAGAACGGTTTCTGAACTTATTTTCAGTGACCGCGGTGTGAAATCTTTTGGCTCGTCAGATTTTAAAATGTTCTCGTAAATAGCTATTATCTAAAAAAGCAAGCAAAAAGCAACCCGACCGCACGAAACTTTTGCTATTATTGTCCCAATTATGTCAATTATGTCAATCACCATTTCACAAAATGTTGCTACCGTAACCCAGTAGAAAGACAAACATTGCACACATTTAACTTTTACTAGGCGACAAAAGAAGAATCAAAATAATAAGAAAATAGATACACATTTTTTATCAAAATCGAAACTATCTCTCTCCTACCATCACCACCACCATCACCATTAGCAGTGGGTCGAAAAAAAAACGAAGAAGGCGACGCCGACTGCTGGGTCGCTGATAAGAGAAGGAATAGAGACGGGAAGAGGGAGTAAGAGCTCTCTACAAAAGAGCCTCATACACATGCATATACACAACTACTGATAACAAGCAAGCTATGGAGAAGGGGAATTGGTGACTGAGAAGAATCGAGAAAAGAGAGGCGCGCGAGAGGAAGAGAAAAGAAGTCGATATGCATATTCATATGATGGTTGCCAAGAGAGCCAAACAAGAGCAGGTGAAGAAGAAGAAAAAGAAGAAGGAAAAGCACGACGATGAAGAGAGACCTGATTGGGAAAGAGAAAAGAAGCGATGCATTTATCCATCGCCTCTCTTCTTGCCTCCACAATAGATGGATGGACGTACACGGCGAGAAAAGAAGAAGAAGAAGTAGAAGAGGTGAGCACAGAGCCCAAGCTTAGAGTTGGGGCGGAGTCATAACTGAGTTGATAGTCACGGAAAGAAGGCGAATACGACTCCGCGTGGTTGACGTTTGGGGAGGAGAGTCGGAAGGCGGGCGCCTATACCTCATTATTATATACAGCAAGCAGTGCTCTCACCGAAGAGCCAGGCGCTTCTCGACAACCGTTGATGAGAGAAGACGTAACGGGGGGAGAGACCGAGAAGGACGGAGATGCGACAATGGCGATGTCATAGAAACCAAACTTAATGCTCTCGGAGTGCTTCAAAAGCGACATGTAAAGAGAATCTCTCGTTATTTCTCCTTATTTTAGTACTATTGTTTAAACATCTACATGGAAATCAAGGCACGAACAGGTACGTATTTTTCCGTTATCACAGTTGTGGTTTCTTATCCTCCAGGGTATCATTTTTATGAGCATTAAACTTTTCGTTGAGTAGAAACTAACCTGGATAAGCTCCTGGTGGTCCAGGCGGTGGTGGTGGAGGCCCACTTCCACCTGGAACTCCTTGTATAGGCTTCTGATCTGGTCCTTGTTGAGCGGCGGCGGCGGCAGCTACCGCTGCTGCTGCTGCACCTCCCGGTTCACGCTTCCTTTGTCGTTTCATCTTATCCGCATACGCAACCTCGTCTTCTGGATTTTTTCCAGTCTCACGACACTCCAACATGAGTAAATGCTTTTGATAGTGCTTTCGAAGTTGATAGCCGGCAGCAGATGACTCAGCCAAATCCGGGTTAGCTTCGGTACACAAATTCTTCCAGTATTTCTCTTTTGTCACTTGCTGAAATCCTCCTTTCCCTCTTACACCAATGTAGAGTCGATGTAAGTCAATGCTCTGTTTAGACACTTGAGGAACCTGAAAATTTCGAAATTTGATTATTTTTTCCTGAAGCACAAATTACCATAGTGATTGGGTCCCCGCTCCGTTCGCAAAAATCAATTAGGCGTTCGAAGAACAATCTTCTCTCGTGCATCACTTGCGGTGGATTATGATGACTAACAGGGCCAACTAGCTTCTCAAGCAACTCTGCCCTGCTCAGAACTTTTCCTGATACTTTGGGTGCTTCTGATGGAGTAGCTGGAGTCGCAGATGCTGAAGAGTCGGAATTGTGTGTAAGAAGAAACTAGAGATAGTGAGTTTTAAACTTATTTTTAAAAAAAGCCGAAAACAACCAGAGATCAGATGCAGAGCAATTGCCTGATAATTGGCTTCTTTAGTACACAACAAAAGACATTGCAAGTAGTTTTTTTCTCGATAGAAGAAATCCAAAGTTTTAAAAGTAAAACTTACAACTTGGCGTTGGTAGTTGTGCATGAGGTGTTTGAGGAGGCATCGGAGACATGATCTGTTGAGGTTGTGGTGTTGGTTGAGGTGGCATTTTTGTACCACTCGGTTTCTCATCTAAAGATTCCTCCGCTATTGAAGAAGCCGATGGCGATGGGATGGGTTGAGAAGACGAGGGTGTAGCAGGGTTTCCGTTAGGCCCATCTTTTGGTGGAGCTCCTCGAGCCGCCGCAGCCGCTTGTGCTTGTTGTTGGGCAGCCCATTCTGTAGGTGTTGGTCCTGGTGGCATTCTCACCATGTCTCCCGGTCCCATCATAGGCGGCCTCATCATTTGTGGCGGATATCCGTAAGGAGCTCCAGGTGGTGGGTAGTAAGCTGGATGTGGAGGATATCCGGGATGATGACGGGGTGGCATTCCGTATGGAGGATATCCTGGCGGATAAACCGGGGGCATCTGGTGTTCTGATCCTTGTGGAGGTCTCCAATCCATCGGCGGCATTCCGGGATGTGAGGGATGATGAGCCGGAGGAGGAGGATGTTGTCCTGGAGGAAGCTGACCCGGAGGGGGTGCGAAACTGTTAGGCGGCACATTTGAATGTTGTGGCGGCAAATGGTGTGGTGGTGGGGGATATTGTTGTTGTTGTGGTGGTTGAGGTGGAACTGGTTGCTGAGGAGGAGTAGACTCGGGAGCCGGAGGACCAGCTGTATCGTCTTTTTTGGCATTCCCACCTCCGTGTGCTACTTTTGCTACTGAAGCTGCATACTTGTCCGCATCTTCGCCCTGAAATAATCATCAAGTTAGTTTCTGTAGCATTAGGTAAATCTCATAGCTGTTAACACCTTCATTTCTTCTCACATGATCTTTTCACAATCAGTGAGCATATTCTCCATTTTTCCCTAGTCAACATCCCAGTCCTCATTAGCCCCTATCCCCCTTATCACATGCATATTGGGAGTACGCTTCGGTAGTTTCCTAATTTTGGTAAACATGATCCCTAATATTTTCTGAGCTGAATATCAAGTTGGAGGGGTTGAAATGAGTTCTTTATGAAGATCGAAAATGAGGTTTTAGATCTCGAACGCCACTGTAGAGCGGTTAAACAATTTCAGTAATCTATCCAATTAGAATTGTTTAGTGTTCTCATAGAATCTCATAATCTTAATCAAAAATATGTAGTTTGGATCTGGATCTTATAGTAAATTGTGGTTAGAATACGGAAATGTAATTGACGGTTATGGACTAGAGTGTTAAGTTCATATCTAGTCCAAACAAGCAAACAAGACATTTGGATAGAAGGATACTCAACTTCTAGGGATTCAAAGTACTAAGTTTCATATTCAACTTTTTTCTCATCGTCCTTTCTCTCTCTGTCTCTCCCGGAATATTTTCTGCCTGTGTCTATTTCTAACTAATAAATAATCTCTCGAATGTCACTCTCTTCCGTCAGAGAGTCCATCAGACCGGAGAGAGTCATCATCATCGGTCATTACAAAAACAAACAAGCATGTCAGAAAGAGAGGGTGTGGAGACTTAGAAGATTAATTAAATTTCTTCTATGACCTCGTGTCGTCTATTTCTCCGTTATGTTGTTCACATCTCTTGTTTCATTATCGGAAAAAGAAAAGAGAATAGTGAAAAGGCTTGTTTATTTCATATGTGTGTTGTAATCTTTGACCACCCGTCACTTTCTCAGGCCTCCCCTTTCCACTTTTTTCCTCCTCAATCGTCTGAGAAGATGGAGAACGAGACTGCTGGACACCAAATCTAAAGAGGGACTCCCCGTCTCCGAGACAAACCAAAATGACGTCACGAATGTTTCGTTGTGATCGTTGGTCTTTCTATATTCTCTTCCCGCTTAAGAGAGAGAGAGAGAGAGAGTGAGATAGAAGAGAAATAGAGGAAAAAGAAAATGAACTTCTTCACTTGAGACTAATGAATCTTGTATGTATATTTTTTCGACTATTTGTATATAGAAATAGCCTACAATAGAGAAGAAAGCGATATTTTTATAGACTCTTGCTTGAGGTTGAGAAGCAAGAACATTAAAAAAGAAAGGAAAGGAGAGGTCTCCTTTTTCAGTCTTTTCCGATTTTCGACCGATATGTTTCTTTTTCGTCAATTCTCCCTATTCATAAATTTCTGGAATTCAGTTTGGAATTCAGTTTTAGCTAAATAGAAAACTATTGACTCTCAGCTGTTCCATTATGGATCACTGAATCTTTTCTGTATTTGAATGGTCTAGTTTATCGTTGGCTGCCTGAACAAGTTAAGATTCTTTAAACCTCAACGTCGGCATTAGTTTCCACTCTGACCTGAAGAATTCATGAAGCAGTTGTCCATCGTCAAATTAAAGTTCCAAAGACTTATATTAAAGAAATGCATCTCTATAACTTTCAAATATTTTTTTGGATACTTCGTATCTGATATTTTTGATATATTACTCAAAAAAAAGTCGAGAATGAAAGTGAAGGAGACTTACAATTAGAGGTGATGACTTCTTGTCTCTAAACCCTCTAGTATTTTCTGTGTTAATTTTGTCCCTTCTAACGCTTTTGATGTTCCGTTCGTTCATTTCACCCCCAATCGTGTGTGTATGTGTGTGTCCGTCCGTCCGTCATGAGGCTTGCGTCGCCTTCTTTTTGAAAACGGAACGATAGGGAATCACGAAGCAGTGTGTCCAAGTGAGAGACGACGAAAGAAAATGCGCTCTCTGTGTACAGAATGTATAGGGGGAGAAAAGGGAGAAAAGATGGCGACCCTGCGCCCCTTCGTCCATTCTCCTCACAAACTGAACCATAGAGAGTGTGCACGTCAAGGAGGCATCATACAGGTTAGACGGCGAGAGACCACCATAAACGAGGAGAATGTTTTTTTCCGAAGGCCACGGCCCGAATAGACGGCTGTGTAGCGCAGCAATCAGAGAGACGCAGAGCTTCTGTGACAACTAAACGAAGAGGGAGACAGATGGCCTAGTCCCTAGTGAAGAGACGTAAAGAAAAAGTATTCAAACGCAGCATCAGCAGCAGCGACCTTCTCTCCCCGACCCCCCTTGTGCTTTCCTCGATCATCATCATCAACCCGCCTCCCAATTCCATTCGAGTGGTTAGAGGCAACTGGAAATAGTGGGGAAGCTGGAGAGATATAGAGGAATGAAAGATTTTCGGATTTTGTTGCAAGAAAAGAACCCGAACGAAGTTATTAGGTGTCCTGTTATTACCCTTTGTTGCGGATTTTGATGCGACTCCTCACTGTTGGGCGTCTGCTCCTCCGTGGTTGATGCATTTGATGTGGTTGGCTGAAAATAGGCACATATCAGCAAAGCAATAATTACAGAAATACTTACCTTGTCTTCATTTGTCTCCGTTCCAACAGCATTGTCATCTCCCGGCATGTTCTCTGATTCAGTGGTATTCGTCCTACAAATAATGCATATTGAATATTTGAGAACCGAAAGTAGATCAAAAATATTGAAACTTACAGTTCTCGCCGGCTCAACCATCAACAAATTTAGTGCGTATGCTAGGACGCAAAACTTTGATTCCCTCGTTGCCGTTCTTGGCGAGTATTAGTGGGGCAGCTCGGCTGCGGGATTCGTCTGAAAATTTGAAATTTAGATTCGGTTTAAATATCAACTATAGGATTACTGTAGAAAACATACGGAGGTCTAGGGAGGATATTTTTCAAAACAATAATGAAAAAGGGTATATTGGTTAGCTCAACCGCAAATTCTCAATAGAAACAAAAGTATTTACAGATTTAAGATGTTCCTCTACTTCTAAACAAATCTGGATATTCTTATTTCTTATATTTGAACATCTTGTGAATATCCAAAAAATCATATGCTGTTTATACTGGGTTACTGTAGATTATTGCAATGTTTCAATTCTTGATAAATATGAATCTCTCAATTCCAGGATCTAGAATTTTTGACTTTTAGAAATCAGATAATTTGTTAATTTCCTCTCTCTTTCTATATCTCCTTTTTTTCCCTATCTCTTCATTATATCGTTATCACTCTCTTGATGTCGTCATAATGATCACAATCGTTACCACTCTCATTATGACACTGTCATCATAAGTGAGGAAACACGATATACTAGAGAGGGTAAATGACAAAAGAAGAGAACGATTCTGAGCTAGAGAACAAAAAATATGAAGAGACCCAGAAACGGAAGGAAGAGAGAAGAAAAACGAAATGAACTTTGTCGGAGAAAGAGGAAGCATAATACAAATAAATAAGCAGAGAACAACACCTCCATCTTGTTTTCTTACTAGCGTGGGAAAGTGAACGAGAATGATAACAGAAGGTTTTCTTCTGCATCTCTGCGTTTCTTTAACCTGACAATTTTTGATTCAATTTAGAAAATTGACAGAGCTTAATCGAGTTCGGCTACCGTAATCCTATTTCAATAAACGTAGGCCGTTGTGAGATTAGCTGAAATTTTGATTGAAGGAAAATTAATTGGAAATTTCGAAGTTGATTCCTTTTAATTCCAATGAATAAAAATTGATTTTAAATAGCAATCAGAAATTATTTTGAAGCTTAATGAATTCGGCTTTATTCTTCCGAAGAGTAGCTTAATTTTCTGTTGCATTCCGAAAAATAGTACCAGTTGAACATTGAACAAAAAAGGAAGTAGATCTGGTTGACATCTTTTTAAAACTTAAAGTCTTGGTTTTCAAAAATTAAGAGGATTCGTAAAATTAGAGTTTATTTTTGTAAATTACCAGCGAGTGCAAAATTTTTAAAAATTGAAATTTTGAAAAACTATAGAGCATTTTTGTTGAAAACAAGTATAATATCTTTTAATTAAAATATAAGATCGTTATTCTCAAAAAGTTAGGCGAATTGAATGATAAGTAGGTCTGAACTATTTTTTAGTTATTCCATCGTCAAAAGAAATTTAGATTTACTTACTAAAATTTAATTTGCAAAATTATCGAGTTTCAAGTTATGAAACTTTAGAAAATTTTACGGGACATTTTCAAACAATGATAGTATCCTGGAATCTATGAAAACAGGATGTTAAACAACAGAGTAAAAAGCTGAAGCCAAGAAGTAACTATAAAAATAGTTGCTGAAACATTTAAAAAAGGTATTCTTTAGTTTTTCGTATAAAAACCCCATCGAAAACTATTGCCGGCTACCGATCGATGGCAACCATTAGCGTGGTACGATTTTTACTCCCGAACTGTTCCCAAAGGTTTTGTTAGTCCTTTGTTAGAATTGGAAGCGTGGTGTACATGTAAACTAAAAATTAAAAGATTCAGAAGATTCTTTGGTGAAGATTGAAATGGTACTGTAAGCAACTTAGAGTGATCGGGTGAAATAGAAATAAATGCCTAAAAAAGTAATTCAAGACCTTGAAAAAAAGGGTTCAACATTCAAGTGTCAGAATTCATGCTCGATGAGAAGTTTTGAAATATTTTACAAACATAACAAAACTAATTAACTGTTAGTCAACTTAAAAGTCAAAAATGAGAGAGACAAAAGGATGAAGAGAGATAGGAAAAGAAGAAGAAAACGAGGGTCGTGAACCCGTTTTTCTTCTCCTTCGTTTTTTTGCTCTCCCATCATCACCCCATTTTTGATTGGCCACTGGTCAAGAGAAAGAGAGCGCGTCACATTGCATACATGAACACAGAGCCCAGCACCAAAAAAAAGGAGAGGAGAGTGGACAACGACGACGACAACGGCGTTGGAAAAGTAGACGTCGTCGTTGGACCAGAAGAGAGAAGATAGTAAAAGGGAGAGCTCGTTTTGCAGTAGAGGGAAAAATAGAAGAGCGCAGTTTCTCTCTCATTCTCCCTTCTTTTCCTTTTCCATGTGCCTTATTATGGTGGAGTTTTGTGTGTATGTATGGGATGGTGTGGTGGACGTGAGTGTGCATGGGGCCTGTGAGACGTCGGTCTCTAGGCCATCAGACTCTGCGTCTCAAAACTCCCTCGCCCCATTCCTCTTCGTCCGTCCGTCCATTCAAATGACGGGAAGAGGCGGGCGCGAGGCGCGCCACGACGACGACGACGGTTGGAAGGAAGAAGAACAAGAAAGAAACGATGGGGAGAAGAAGAAGAAGAAGAATGGTGGGGATGAAGAAAACGACCGTCGCAGTCGCCGCGGGCCTTTCTTCTGCACACATACTAGGGCTGAGAGTAAGATAACTAAAGATCCACAAGAGGACTGTGGTTGAGAAGAGACGCAGAGGGGGGCCTAGATAGAGAGCGAGACACAAGTGAATAGAAAAGACCGGGCGGGATGGTGTGTCACTCACACACATAACGAAATAGTGCGAAGGGAAAAGAGAGGCGATTGCTCTAACATCCATCGGTGGCCTTCGCTGCCTCTACACACAGGGAGTCGATCGATTCAAACGCGGAGAAGAGTGGGGAGGAGGCGATGGGGGTTCTACCTCCTATTCCGAAGAAGACGTCGTTGGCGGCGTCGAAGAAGACACTTTTCTAGTTCCTTCGACCATTGCGATGCGCACTCAGTCTTCTTTTCTTTCTTAAGTGAAGAAGAAGACGATGAACGATCAAAGTGAAATGGGCGGTGCGAATTGATCGGGGGATACTGTAGCAGACAATGAAGTACTTCGCGGGAATTAATCAGGAAGTCGCTTCAAAAATTGAAATTCTGACGAACGAAGATGTATTCGAAAAACCCAAAAAAACTCCAAGATCAAATAGTACCACAAAAAAATTTTCAGACAGGTCGAAGGTCTTATAAGCGAAGTTCTAGGCGCCCTAATTCAGAAACTTTTAGAAATTCAAAGAGGAACTCCAATCAAACCTAAAACTTGTGATATTTGATTTTTTTTATTTGCAAATCCAAATAAATAAATAAAGACAATATGTTAATAATATGTTAAGGACCGTTTTTAAAGTTATTGGTAAATTGGAAAGTAATAGAAATCGAGTTTTCTAATGCTCGTAGTTCAAAAGCCGTAAAAACAGACAACCTGGAAATTTTTTTTAAAGTACAGTTTGAGCATTTTACGAATACCGTAATCTTCAAAAGCGTTCAGACCTGGAAAAAAAAACTAACTTCAAGTAAGAAGAGTCCGTTAGTAGTGTGATGTGAGTTTATGGAACACTGTGACCTGAAAATTTTACCTTTTGACATGGAAAAAAACCTGCGAACCAAAAAAGTAAAGCTAAATCGGGGAAGACCTATTCGAATTCTCTTTTTTTTATAAATTTACATCTCTTTATACAGATACTATTCGGAAATTGTTGGAAATCACATGTACAGACAGATAAAATACAAATTCATATTATCTATGTGATTGTTGTTCTAAGCGTTTTTTCTTCTTCGACGATGAAGACGTGGATGGCACATTTGGATCGTCGAAGTCTTCATCAGAGTCCGATTCTGAGCGTTCCCTTTTTGTTCCACTTGTTGATTCCTGTTTGTCTTTCTTCTCGCGTTGTTCTTCTTCTGGCTGGAAGATTGCAGGCGGTGAGTGCATGAAAAATCTAACTGACAACCTTTTCCATAAAGTGCTTTTCCAGGTGCCTGAGGAGAAACGGAGTTTTCGGTCCTTTGATTTTATAGCATTCTCCATCATTTTCTCCCTCTACATTTCGATGAACGATCGGCATTTTATCAGATGATTTCTTTTCCACCTGAAAGACAACTTGATTATTAATACGAAAGAATGAATTTTCAAACATCTTTTTTAATGGGGTACTTTGAAAAACTTGACGGGTTCCGGCACGGAAAAGGGCCAATTGTGAAACTCGACATCGTAATTATCTGAAAAAATATTATGGAAACTCTCCGAGTGAGAATAAAACAGTTAAAATATGAGGAAAGGAACCGATAAATTGGTTGAAAAATTGAAAAAAAACGAGTAACTGAGACTTTATTTCGGAAACACATTGAGACGATACGAAAATCAACCGGCAATAAATGTCTTTCTAACTAAATACTTCTACAAAAAAACAGTAATATTCTTGACAGCTGAAACCTCTTACGAGAATGAATATCCTTGGCTCTTATCGGAAGAAGAGGAAGACGGTCCTGAAGGTGTTCCGGACATAAAACTCGATTCAGAATCAGTAAAAGACGAGGATATTGGAGGTGAAACCTGGCGGACACGGGGAGACTGTTGGAATTCAGAAGTTTCTCCGACTAGAGGCTTATAAGAAGTGAACGAGTCGCCATATGAAGAAGTATTCTCTTCAGTAGAAGGAATTGTGTAGGTGTAATCGTAAGGGTTAGGTTTCTGAAAAGTTCGAACTTGTTGATAAAAAGGAAATTCAAATAAACCTCTATTCCTTGAGTAGTCGTAACTGATTCAGGTTGACGTGGATCTCTGCGGGCTGGAGTTTCAGAATGCACTCGATTTTGACGACGAATTTCTTCATAGTTCGTGGAAGAGCTAGAAAGATCATACTGAAATTTTTCTCGTGTGAAGGGCATTTGTTCGAAGAAACATACTTTCTTCCACAATTGATCTATTCTTGGTTTGATTCTATCTCGGCAAGTTCCCATGAACAAGAGATTGGAAGCAGTTAGAGAGCTAAACGAGACAATTAGTTGTAATTCGTTAGTCGAAAACGTACGCAACTCCCATAATTGCATAAAATGGCCATCCTTTGGGTCCAAAATGATATTGCATTGGAAGCCGTTGCCTTGCTACATACAGACTTCCGAGAATGGCTCCAGTGATTGGTAATCCTCGTGTCATGGTTACCTAAAACAGGAAATCATGAAAATTACTGAATTCAGAAGAAGAAGAGTGAATAAAACCTCGGTAGTGCAATTTCGCATCATTTCGGTCAATTCTTTCTGCTCATCACTTGATAGTTTGTTCAAAAGCGCATGAATTTGCTCATTGTTCAGCTCCACTTTTTTCGACGTACCCCCAGATGGTTGTGAAAACGAAAATGGATCTCCGGATGACATCACGATTGGAAAAAGTGTGAAAATTATTTGGAAAAACAAATAAAAAATCGAAAAACAAGGGAAAATGTAACTTCGCTCTATTGAGTGTCACTTTTGCGAGGGAGTTTAAAATTCAATTTTTCGGTTTTTAATATCTGCTTACAAACTTCTTGGCGATATTTAAATAAAACTATTTTTTCCAATTAATATATTTTTTTAGGTTCTACACTCTACACTGTTATCAACACCGCAAAAGCCATTCATTTGAATGTTGGTAGATAAATAATATTTGAATTTGTATTCAAAATCGCAAAATACAGTAGATTTTCCGAAAATATGCAGACAAATTACTGTAGATAACTAGTTGTTTTTGTCTTTTGAGTATTATTGTTGTCCGAAAAAATCGGAGTTGAGACGCAGACAGTTAATCGAAATATTTCTCTGCGTCTCCACCGACTATGCGCTATTTAGGCTTGTCGCTTCGAGGTGCCTACCGTATTCAGGCTGCAAAAAATACTCTCTCGCTCCAATTTTTTCGCACAACAATAATAATTATCGCAATTCCCTATTATACTGTTATAAATATTTCAATCCTGAGAATGGGTAACAAAAGTAGTTCTGTTCAACAGCCTTTGGATTCTTTTTCTCATTGGAACGATTTACCGCCCGAATTGAAATCTGCATGTATTAAGCACCTCGACTTCAAAACAAGGTAAACTGAATCGTTCGAATAATTGTATCAGTTACTAAATAACTTCTCAGACTCCTTCTACGGAGCACGTCCCGTGCAGAAAGAGCGCTCGTAGATAGTCAAAAATTCAATCTTGAACATGTTCAAATTAAAGGACTTCTACCATATCCAGTAAATGCACTCATTCCAACTGGATTCGATGGACAAAAACTCACAATTGTTCCATCGAGCGATGCAAAAACCGCAATTGTAATTCGCATCCGAAACCTTACTCGATTTTTCGAAACCGTTCTCCCACTTCTGGTTTTCATTCTCACAAGATCCGTCATCAATGAGTTTTCCGTCGAAGTGATCCATGGAAACGATTGGAGCACTATTCTTGGAGAGTCCTAACAAACGACTCTAATAAATGTCAGAAGCTTTCATGGTGTTGTTTTGAAAAACCCGGAACTGCTGTTTTTCGTCTCACGACTTGGTCCCATTACAAAATCAATTTATATGGATGGAAATACATGTAACAAGTTCCCAATCGAAGATCTAATAAATAACGATATTGTAAGAATTTTTATTTAAGATGATGCTTATTTAAACAAATATTACAGGTTACCAACGCTCGTATGGTTCGTATTCGTGACTTGACATGCAAAGATGCAGTTTGGAAATTGGCGGAGGTTACTGTCATTGCCTGCTCATCATTTTAATCATATTATTTGCAGAAGTGGATCGAAAACGATTCCGTGATCGGCACAACATTTCAAGTGACTTCTGTGCATGGTCATTCAATTCCTCACTTTGTTCAAAAATTCAGAGACCGAATCATGTGAAAATAGTTATGTCTAAACCTCACTCTATAATGTTTTTCAGTTTCGAAAATCACGAAGAAGTTAGAATCACAACGAACAACCCATCGAAACATATTCTTCTGAAACTTGCTAGAAGATGGAGAGTCTCCAGACCATTAACTTGTGTTGTCATTTCGTCGTATATGAAAAAAGAAGAATACGAATCTTTTGGGCATTGGGTTTCCAAAAAAGTGATGCCGATCTGGGAATACCTCTCATTCGTGTTCACAGACGATTTTCACGAAGATGATGGCCTCAATTGTTATAGTTTTATCATTTTAATTTTTCACTGTCTTTGGCTCATCATTACGGTGCTTTTTAAACATGTCTTTGGTAGAAACTGATTCTATTGTACACCTTGTTGTTACATCTTGTTATTTTTCTTCTTGTTGTTAGCTGAATAAAACCTTAAAGGTTAACAAGTTTATCATTTTCTTGGAAGCGTTCTCGGAACAAATTCCCGAAGTAAATAAAAAAGACGATGCGGCTTCAGACGATAGAAATACTCTCCTTGAATAAAGGAAAAAGGGATCATATTGTTTTTTTTTTCCTTTTCCTTTTTTAATTATTGGTTAATGAAAAAATTAAATTTTTCTGTTACAAAAATTGGGAGCTCGGTAGCCGAAGGCACCACAACAACAACTACAGTAACCTACAAATATTTTTATTTCATCGTCTTTCAATGAAAGACTTTCACTGCTTTTTGTCGAGTTTTCTGAAATTTTCCCCTATAAACGTCGGAAAATAAAAAATGGTTATGGTGAAAAACCGCACGGAAATCGAGAAAATAAATTCGGAAAATGAATATATAATTAGTCTACTTTTTGGTTACGGTACTTGTCGTTTTGGGACCTTCGGCTACCGGCGTTTCTCTTCCACATACCATAAAACCTGTATTAGAAAGGTCTATCTAAAAGAAGGGCCTTCTATAAAATTCACATTTTGTCTGGAAAATCCGAACTTCTACAGAAATGTGTTGAAACACAGTTTTTTTGGAAATTCGCTCAAGTTTGCCAAAAATTTTCTGAAAAAATGTTCTGAAAAATCGAAGGGCCCCTGATAATTGAAGGTCCCCTTCAATAAAAGGGCCCTCCGGAGACACCTTGGAACAATAGAAGGGCCGACCCTTCTATTGTTCCAAGGTATGTTTCAGTACTAGAATAATAGTCCTGCGGCAGGACTCCTGCCAGGTATTTTGGTAGTGTTTAGAATGATATGGAACAACAAATATTAATGGAAAGCTCGCCAAAAATTATTTTTCTGATACAAAATTATCACAATTTGATTCACAAACAAGAAATTATTATCTTTCCGGAAACGAACACGACTCAGCTCTCATGCACAATTTTTTAAATATATTCTTCTTTCTTTTTTTTGCATTCAGTTTCTTGAAAATTGCAGTTGGAATTGTAAATAGGATGTATAGTTGACTGATCATAAAAAGATCCATTTTAAAAAGTAACTCTTTATTCCCGAATTTTTCCGTTTCTTCTCACACTGCCAATTCCTTTTTTCTCTGTCTCTTTTCCCTTTTCCAGTTGTTATGGATACGTCTCACCGGACGAAAAACTTTGCATTATTCCTCTCGTTTTCTTTCTTTCTATTATTTTTTTGCTGAAGTCATTTTTGATCTTTTGACCTGTTGTCAAACACTTTCAGACGTCATTTTCCTTGCACCTATTATTTACTTTGTCAGCAGGAAAAGGGCGTTTCCTTTTATACACAGAGAGAGAGAGAGAGAGAGAGTTCAAGATAACTAAATATCATATCATTCAGAGTGTGGAAACATGTGAACTATGATTCAAAAAACAAACAGATACTATGTGTGGTAAAGGAAAAAGAGTTGGAAGAAGTTTTGAATGCTTTCAGCTTTTTTTCGGAATAAAATGAATTTTTCCAGAAATCCAAAATTTTGAAAATCTTCAGAGAATTTTGATTTCGAAATTCAATATTAAGAAGTTTTGTGTTTCCAAAATTCAAAATACAGAAATACGAAAATCCAACAATATTAATATCTCGGAAAGTTAGGCATTAGAAAGTTTTTAAAGTTTTGAGAATTCAGAAGTTAACAAGTTTGATATTTCCAACACATCTCCTAAATTTGACGGGAACTCAAAATTATAGAGTATGCGAATTCGAAGTCGTGAAACTTTTTCCGGAATTAAGAATTTCAGTATTTCCGTGTTCAAATTTCCGAGTCTTTGAATTTTTGTGTTTCTCAAGTTCTGATTTTCAGAATGTTGAAATTTCTAAACAGAAATTGAACAATTCGAAAATTTGAAGTTCAAGACTCTAACTTATTTGTTTCAGATTAACTAAAAAATTAATTCATTTTCTATTTTAAAATGCAAAAAAACAAAAATTTTTGATTTTATAAAAACAGATTTGCTTTCTGGTTTCTTAATATTGTTTTTCCCTATGTTTTAAAGTCAAAATTCTGACCCTGGGACATTTTTGTTGGAAAACTGGCTTCCCAAACGAAGCCCTTTCAAAAAAAGTTCAAAATTGAAAAAAAGACATTTTTTCAACATTCATAATCCCTTTCAACGTATGCAAGTGCAATATGATTTTGGATTCTCTCGTTTTGTCGAATTGTTATATACCCAATACACATAGTATACTTTTGTCCCCGTTTTCTTCTCTCCAGGTCAAACAAATAGCTTCAGAAGAGAGACGAGGAAATCCGTTAATTAGTTTTCTATTTTCAACCGGTTCTTTTAAAGTTTCTAACGCTGCCTAGAAAAAATTATGTCAGAGGACCTCCTAAAATGTTTATGCAATTTGAATAATCGCATTATACCAGGCCTCGAAAAGCAAAAACTGTTTTATTGTTCCGAGTTTTATTGTAACCCATACGTTCTCTCCCTCTTTTCAAAACGTTCTTCTAATGCATTTTTGAGGAGTTCCTGCTCTATGTCATTTGTTATGTTTGTGTGTACACCAGATTAAGTTACTTTTTTTCATTTGGCTCGGTCTATCATTATCAAGAATTTGTTTAATTAAGATCAGTTATTTGGCATTCACCTTTCCCAGTCTTGAAGTTCAAATTTTCCAAATTTTTTCCCTCTAATTTCAGCAATCAATTATTTTTACCCAAAAGTTCTCACTCCCTTATAGTAATCATATTTCGAACCATTATTTTATCATTATGTCAACATTTCTATCACCACCGAATACATAAATGTTGTGTCCATATATGGACAGCGCATACATACATTCGATGACGGTCTCACCATCGCTCTATTCCACGTTCTCTTTCTCCAAAAAAATCACAATTGAAGCTATACTTTTCCCCTCTATCTCTTTTCTTTTCTCCAGGAATCATACATTTTTTAGATTATTCATAAAAAGGACTAGGAGAAGCAAAATTAATATATGTCTGATTTCCCTCTACTATATTCCCCTTTTTGTTTTCCCTTCTTGCTCCTCTTCATTTTCGTCCAATCGGGACCTCGTTTCAGCTGTTCAAACTTTATGAACGCAACCGATTATATTTTCCCACACTAGTCATCAAACATTCTCTTCTTCTTCTTTTTTCAATCGTACTCCTTTTCAATATCTTCTCATTATCTTTTCAGAAATGTATCGACTTGCGGTATCAGCCAAACGAAAAGTTCTGCTCAATCCTAAAACATTTGCAGTCTATTTTTTCGCTATTTTCTTCACATTTTTATTGGCATATCATCAACGATTAGGACAAGTGAGTTTTGAGTCTGTTGGATTTGAAAACCGGCCATTTTTTTAACCAACGAAACTAGATATGATTGAACTAGGCGAGTACTACAAAATAATATTTCCATTAGGAATCTGTATCTTGGTTATGGCCAAATTTATAACGCCATAAAGCTTCCGATCCGTGGCGGGCTGGTCCCTGGCGGTTTTTTTTAGTTTATACATGATATAATGTTTAAAATAGTATCATTTTTTAATACTCGTCGAGTTCTATAATTTCCATTTTAGTTGGTCTGAGAATATTGACGCCAAACGAAACTATGGCAGGGTCTGCAACGGCCCGTTTTAGGCCCGTTTTTTAGTTCGAAAAACTATACTTTTCAAATTCCGGTCTCGGGCCCGGGTCGGGCCTGAGCAAATTTTCAAGGCCCGGGCCCGGCCCGGAAGGCCCGGTATCAAAAATGAAAAAAAAACTCGAAAAAAAATCAAATAAGGGAAAATCCCTTATGTGTTTTTTGAAATTTTCGAAACTTGTGAAATGACGGGCCCGCCGGGCCGGCCCTCCGAAATTCGAAAAGAAAGTCCGGGATGGCCCGGCCCGGCCTGTTACAAATATGCAAAAAACCTGTTGGACTTGAAAACAAAAATTGAAATTTTTCAGCAACTTGGACAGCACACCCACATGTCTCGAATTGTCAATATGCAATCTGCTGTTCAAGAACAGAATGTTCCTCAGAAAGAAACACCACAAGTAGAAAAAGAAAATAACGTTGGGAAAGAAGAACAGAAGGATGTTTTGAAAGAAATTCCAAAGGTTTCAAACCAAGAAAAAGTAGAAGAAGTATGCAGCAGGCCTCCTGAAGAAGTGAAAACTGATTTCAATGTAAATTTTTTTTTCTGGATTCGGTTTCTAGATTTTTTGGTCTTCTGAAAATTCTAGGAATATCAATAATTCCAAAAAATCCAAAAATCCGAAAAAAAATTCAAAAATCCAAATATCCGAAAAATTCAAAATTAAAAAAAAATTAGAAATTTGGATATATTCAAAAAAGGTAATACTTTAAATATTAGCAATAGCAGAGAATCTATAACAGTTTTTTCTGATTTTTTCGACATTTTCTAGTTTGTGGAATCTTCAAAATTATAGGACTTTTCGAAAAAAAAATTTATTTTTGGATCATCTGCAATCCCTGATATTCCTAGAATTTTCACAAAAATTCTACTAGAGTTGTTTTTATTCCTTTTCCGTTTGGACAAGTTTATTTTCAGACTTTCGATTTATTCGAATCAGTAGTGGCAAGTTCAAAAGCTCTTCCACAATCTTCAAGAAAAGCGAGAATCGAAAAACTAAAAGTCTACGTTCTCCCATTCACACATGTTGATCCAGGTATCATAAGAAATAAGGAGACAATTCAAGAATTAATTTTGTTTAGGGTGGTTGGAAACATTCGAAAGTTACACAAAACGAACGAATCAAATCTTGGACAATATGCATGAGTTTATGATGAAAAACGAGAAAATGAGATTCATGTGGGCGGAGTTTGTCTTTTTTGAAAGATGGTGGTCATTGAAGGATGAGAAAGTTCGAGAAGATGTGAAAAAGTATGCCCATGCAGTCTTTTATTCTAAAATTCCGTTTTTTTTTCAGATTAGTTTCTGAAGGTCGTCTTGAATTAGCAACTGGTTCATGGGTAATGACTGACGAGGCGAATCCCTATTTCCCAGTTTCTGTTGATAACATTGTGGAAGGTTTCCAGTTTATCAATCAGCATTTTGGTGAGGTTGAAACATTTATGCAATTTCAAAGAATATAAATTTTAGGAATCAAACCACAAACAATTTGGACAAACGATCCATTTGGATACTCAAACTCTGTTCCATACTTGTTTAAAAAATCTGGTAAGAGTTTTCTATTTTCTTCTTTTCAATTGATAACTCTTTTGCAGGTGTTCGTAGAAATGTGATCAATCGAATTCATCACAGAATCAAACAAACTCTTCAAGGACAACAAGCAATTCCATTCAAATGGAGACAATATTTCGATAAAGCCGGAGAGGATGACGTTTTGACTCAAGTTCTACCGTATACCCATTACGATGTTCTCAATTCTTGTGGATCCGATGCTTCTGTTTGCTGTGAATTCGATTTTAAAAGAATCACACACTGGTCTTGTCCCGGACCAAAACCTGTGAATATAAATGATCAAAATGTGGTTGCAAAGTTAGTTCTTTTTTGAGAAAACAGAAAAATAAATAAGTATTTTCAGAGCCGATAAGCTTGTTGGTCAACTGGAAAGAATGTCAGAAATGTACAAAGCTCCTGTTATACTGATGATGCATGGAGATGATTTCCGGTGAGATTTTCAATCTGATGGGAAAATATATTTTTCCGAGTTCCATTTTCAGTTTCGATATGATTGAAGAGTGGCATCAACAACACGACAATTTCCTTCCCGTTTTTGATCAGATCAACAAAGGCGATCGAGTGGAAATCAGGTAATCACCGTAAGCATCCTAATAGAAGATCCCTCGATGCCTGCACAACTAAATTATCTCAATTTCTATAAGAGATAACAAAAATTTGCCATCTGATAACATGTTTGTCATAGTTTGTCATAGTCGATGTTTGTCATAGTCACCAAAATTTTATCAGTGGACGCGTTTTAGATATTTTTTATAGAAATTGAGATGAATGAGCTCAAAGTGCAAGTATAGAGTGGCCTTCTATTAGTGTGCTCTCGTATTGTAAATGTTTTCATAATCCATTTTTTAGATTTGGAACATTCACAGATTATTTCAATGGTTTGGAAAAGTGGTATTCTGATAATGAAGACCATCAACCAGCAACTCTATCTGGAGATTTCTTCCCCTATATGTGTGCCCTTGGGGATTATTGGACTGGCTATTACACAACTAGACCATTTTTCAAAAGACAAGGGAGACTTCTTCATGTTAGTTCCCAGTTCTCGTAATTCTCGTTAAAAAAATCATTTTTCAGTCTCTCATTAGAAACTCGGATATTATGCTCTCTATGCTACGTGGAAATCTGAAGCAGAGGAAGATCGATGAGAACACGAAACGTCTTGAAGATGCTAGAAGAAGTCTTTCCCTTTTCCAACATCACGACGCCATAACAGGTAATCTACTTTTTTTTTAGCTTGTTATCATCAAAACCATTATTTTCAGGAACTTCAAAAGTTAGTGTGATGGATAATTACTCGGAAATTCTACATTCTTCGATCGGATCCATGAAAATTGTTTTGGAAAATTTGACGAAGAGTGATCTGGACATTTATCCTAGAATCCACGATGGTGTTGAAATTCAACAAGTTGTAGATTTCTCCGAAGACCCAACTGATAAGGAAATCAGAATATTCAACAGCCTTCTTTTCACAATCACCGATGTCTTCAGTATTCGAATCACTCTTCGAGAAGTAACAGTTTCCATCGATGGAAAATCAATCGAAGCTCAATTGGAGCCATTATTCCAGAAAGGAAAAGCTGAAACTGATTCGTTTTCGGTGGGTTCCTACATTTCCGCTCCTACATTATTTTAAAAATTTCAGTTGTTGTTCAAAGCTACAGTACCGCCTCTCAGCATGATAAAAGTGAGAATTCAAAAAGGAGATTCTGGTGGATTGACAAAAATAGCGAAGGTTGAATCAAGAGATGCGAGTGCCTGGGAACTAGGACAGTGGGTATTTTTTGAAATAGGGAATTCTGAATCTGCTTTTTATAGCGACTGGAAGGTTGGATCTCCGACTTCGTCTAGCCTGGAAACTCCCTTCCTAAAGGTTGCGCTCAATTTGAGCAATGGAGCTATCCAGGTTGAATACAAAAACGAAGAAAAACACATATCCATATATTCAGACTGTGGTAAAACAAAGTGACAAATCAACTTTCGAATGTCAACAGTCTTGGCATTTGTATAAAGAAGCGGGTGGTGGATCATATCTCATGAGACTTCATACAAATCCAACTGTATGTCTTAGATCCCATTGAATTCCAAAAAAGAAGTTGTATTCCAGGAGGTAAAAGAGTTCAAATGGTTGAAAGTGGCTGGTCCTGTACGACAATCTATTTATCAAAAATCTAAAAATGTTTTGCAAAAAACAAGTATCAATAATGTGGAAGGTATGTGATGGAGATACAAGGCGTCACCTCTTCATGAACTGATTTCAGGACCATCTGGAGAAGAGATTGATATTTCCATGTCTATCGATGTGACAAAAGAAAGGAATACAGAACTGATGACTCGATTCACCACAAACTGGGCAAAACCAATTACATTTACTGATAGTGTTGGAATGCAATTATTGAGAAGGGATTTTTATAGATTACCAATTCAAAGTAACTATTATCCGATGCCAACTTCAGCTGTTTTGCAAGAAGGAAAACAAAGGTTAGTTAACCTAAAAAAAAGAGAGTAATAATAAAGAATGAACAATATAATTGACTTCAGAATTTCGATAGTTTCCAATGTGGAACATGGAGCAAGATTCTTGGAAAACGGAAGTGTTGAAATAAACATTGATCGAATTCTGAACCAAGATGATGGAAAAGGACTCGGATCAGGACCCGATGCAATTCCAAGTGATATGAAACCAGTCGATATGAAATTCAAACTTGTTTTTGATAATTTGGGTAAAGAAGATCAACCAAATATTCATTACTCAACGCACACTTTCCGTGCTCAACAAGCTGTTCAATCTGTCATTTACCCACCTCTTCTATTTGATGCAAAACCGAAAAAAGAGGAAGACATTGAGGAGATTGAGGAAAATTCAAATTTGAGATTCCCTTGTGATGTTCAACTTTTAACGGTCCGTCCGTTATCCGGTGATCGGCAATTGATGATTTTCTATCGACATGCAACTTCTTGTTCAAGTGAAAAAATGAGCAACTGTGGAGCTGATTTCAAGGTTTTCATCTTGAATTCTGTCAAAGCTGAGAAAATATACATTTTGTTTTCAGAAGTCTCTTATGAACCTCCTTATCAGATTGGGCGTGAGAGAGGCTCAAAAAACGGATTTAAGTGGAGTAACAGCTATTGGAGACAAGGTCAACGTGGAAAATCTTCCAGATGTTGACATTAAAACTTTTGACTTTTTAACTTTAGTTCTTCATAGATAACTTGTTTTTGTTGGTTTTTTTCTGTTGAAGTCTAGTCTGAATTGTAATAATTAATTATGGGTATGGTTGCTATGCAAATCTCTTCTTTGTTCGTTCTCTGTGATTTGTTCCTAAAATTTTTTTAATTATATAAATTAGATAAGGTGTTGCCAAATATAGCTTCTGGTATTTGAATGTTTGAAATTTATATTTTCAGAAAGTATCAATAAAATTCAAGGTTTATAGGGCATTTGCAAGATTACTGAAAGAGAAAATATTCGAAAACGATAAGGATTACTGTGTAACATTCGAAAATTGAAAGGATTACTATAGGTGAAATATTCGAAATTGAAGAGGGTTACTGTAGCTGAAATCATTTGAAAATGAAAAGGATTACTATAGGGAAAATATTGGGAAATGAAAAGGATTAATGTAAGGGAAAAATTTGAAAATTGAACGGGTTACTATAGGGGAAATATTCGAAAATGATAAAAGGTTACTGTAGGAGAAAATATTCGAAAATCGAAAAAATTACTGTAGAAGAAAACATTCGAAAATAAAGAGGAAGAGGGTCACTGGAAAAAAAATTCAAAATTGAAGAGGGTTACTGTAGGGGAAAATATTCGAAAATTGAAAGGATTACTGTAGGATGACTAATTAGATAATGAGAAGTATTTTTGAGGAGCTAACTAGTAAGTCATCCAGAAAAAATTAAATTTTGAACTCGGATCTTCGTAAAATAGAATTCATAATAAATCTTTATTTCATTGGATTCAATCACAATCTACCGAGTAATATCTAGTTTTGTCAGTTAAAATAATCAGTCTTTCTTCGATCTGCGCATCTTCTTGTAGAAGTTTTGGACGCTTTTCACGACACTCTTCAACGATTTTCTGAAAACTTTCAAGTTGAAAAAAATGTTATTTTTTGAAAAATCACTTGTTGTTGAAGGCATCTTTATCGAGACAAATGAGATCTAATTGGTATCGGTTGAACTTGGGGCTCACTTTGTTTTCCTCAATCTTCTTCTCAAGCCACTGAAAATATTTCAAATTTTTCATTTCAAAAAATATGTATACCTTCTTATAGTGATCCTCAGAGATTTTGTCAGTCTTTCCCAAGTCTTGCATCTCTTCAGTGTACTCTTCCCATGGGAAGAATTCATGTTCCTCCTCCTAAAAAAAACGAGACTTGAAAGAAAATAAACGATGTATCAACTTAAATTTGCCAATATCTCGTTGTCCTCAACTCTCAATTTCATCGCTTTAGCTGCTCTTTTTCTCTCATACTCCGCCTCTGCTCGTGCTTCTTCCTCGTCCATATCATCGTTGAACATATCTTCAATATTTGGATTTCCCATTTCTTTCAGAGCCTTCTCTGCAAGATGCATTTTTTCTATTTTTATGTTTCAAAGCATTCAAAAATTACCAACTGCAGCTGCAAACTTTTTGGTTTTCTTCTTTGGGACGTCTTTTCCATTGACCTGGATATTGATAGCTTTTCCTACTCCCACGTTGAAGTTCATTTCATTGATTGCCTCCAAACCTTCAGTAACTGAAAAAAAAAACCATATTTCTCCTATCACCTATGCAGCATCAAAGGACTCACTTTCCTCCTGAGCTTTTTTGACATTTGCCATATGCTCGTATCTTCCCAACAAATGACTTGATTCCGATTTCTTTGGCAGCTTGTCCTTCTCGAGATCCCACTTTGATCTCAAATATCTCTTCCACTGTCTTCTCACTTTCTCCAGCTCTTTCTCCTTCCATTCATCCCATTCTTTCTCGTTTTCAATCTTTGCCATTGGAGTTCCCATTGCTCCGAACACAGATGGAAACTCATTTTTCTCCGGACTTTCCGTTTCTTCTTTCGAAGGTGATTTGCGTTTACGCTGAAAGACCTTTTTCATGGAAAACTGTTAGATATTATTTTTGGTCTTACCGTTTTTTTGGCTGGTGTCTGTTTGTTGTTGAGTGCAGCACTGATATCCAATTCTTCGTCGGACATTTTCTAGTTTTGGTCGAAAAATAATGATTTTTTTGTTTCCGAGGGAAGGCATCCTAGGAAATCGGATAGAAAAGTTTCGGGGAGTTTCACGTTTTTGAGGGGATTCCAGATCAGTTAAAAAATAGAGTTGTTCTAAAAAGACTATCTTGTCAAGCATCCCACAATCAAAAAAATTAAAAAGAACATTTAAAAATAAAATATTCTGAAAGTTCTGAAAAAAACACTCCAAAATTCAAACAATTCCAAAAAGTTTTTAAGATCAAAATTCAAAAACATTAGAACTTTCACAATTAAGTTTCCAGAACCGGAAAATTCGGGAAAATCTAAAGTTTCCGAAATAATTCCAAAAATCCTAAAGTCAAAATCTTGTCTCCTGAAAACCATGAAATTGCCGAAAACTGGCAAATTCCAAAATTCAAAATTTTATAAAATTACGAATACCATGAAAACTCAAAGAAGAACCTTTAAAAGTTCCCAGACACGAAAAATTCGGGAAAATCAAAAGTTCCGAAAATAAAAATGATGAAAGTTCAAAAACCCAAAGAATCTAAAAATCCAAAAATTTCATAATCTCAAGATTTTCAAAATTTTCAGAGAATCCTAAAAATTCTGAAACTTATAAAAACCTCTGGAAACTTGAAAAATCAAAAATTTCTGAAATTTGAAAACTCCAAAAATTTCAGGAAATCGTCAATGTCAAAAACACCAAAATAAACAGAATTCATTCAAGATAATCACTTTTTCTTCCCATAAGTATAATAGTTGTATCCGGGATAACTGTAGTAATAATTATTGACTGGTTGACGAGAGAATGTTCGATCCACAACTGCTCCACCAAGTGCTGCTAAACCAATTTTACCCCATGGACTGTAACAGAGAATCAGACTTTAGGGACGTCGGATTATTACCCTTACCTGAGAGCCTGAGCTTCAGCTTCTCCAATCCAAATGATGCCAAAGATGAAGATCAAGGGAATCAAAATGTAGAATTTCATACTTCAGATGGAATACTTCTGACGGAAGAAAATATTTTGTTGTATTGAATCCAACATTTCCACTTTTATATGCTAATCCTAATAACTGTTCACCGAATAGTGATCAGAATCACAATTCTATAATGTAGCCTACTGTCTCCGTCTTTTGACTTCTATTAGTCCAGATCTGTGATATCATTTCGACAGAAACTGGAGAAACGGTAGAATCTATAGATGTCCAATCGTTTTTATGGGGTTATTCATGTAGCGAAACTCTGTATTGAAATACCTTTCGGCGCCCTCGAAATTCAATGCAGGAGTGTCGTGAAATGTATTTCAAAGCATTTCGCGACATGACTGTAAATGCATTAAAATACATCGCGTG